CTATGGGTCGGAACCGACTCGATGGCACTTAACAACAACAACAACCCTCTAACTAAGCGCTGATAGCGTAGTGGTTAAGAATTGGGCTGCTAACCTCAAGGTCAGCAATTTGAAATTACCAGCAGTTACGTGGAAGAGGTGGCTTAATGCTCCCGTCAAGAGTTACAGCCTCGGAAACCCTATGCAGGTTCACGATGAGTCGGAACCAACTCCATGACGCATAACCACCACTCTCTTAGCCAGTCAATCACTCTCCCTTCCCCCCCACCCCTGGTAACTATCAAAGCATGTTTCTTTTAGTATGAATGCTTGCTGTTTTTGAGGACTATCAAGGCAGTCAATGTGACACAATGGAGTGATGGAGTGACAATGGTATATTTTATAAAGCAGAGCTCATGGCCTTGCTTTGCCCCAAATGGGCTGGAGGGATATTGCAGAGGGTGGGAGATAATGGATCACCTCAGGCTTCATGAGTAGGCAGGTGTCCGCATCTTCATGTGACCTGTGTTTGTGGTGAGGAGGAAAGGCGGATCTAAACTGTACATTGTGCTTTAGACATGTGGTTGCACCTCTGTTCTAATATGGTTCCTGCTAGGGAAGAATGATTCTTATTCCTGTTTTACAGAAGAGGAAACTGGGGTCAGAGTGGGGCAATCCTTACCACAAGGTTTTAAACTTAGTAATAATTCAGTTGGCCAAGCACCAAGTACAGGTTTCTGTATTGGGGGTGGAGTTGTCTCTGCTCCTTGAGTCCTCATTGTATTGAGCTCTGGCTGCCTACTGCTCCCAGCATGTTTGCTGGTAGGAAGGGTTCTGCAGGGGTGGAGTATATAGGGTTCTTTTCATGTCTTGGCTGCTATGTGGGGCATTATCGGAGGCTGATGGTATGGTTCTGGAGTAAGACCCTGAGCAAATACACCAGTAGAGGTGTGTCCTTGAGTAGACAGTATAGGCTGGTCAATGTGGGTCACTCTGCCCCTTTCCAGGGCCAAGAGCTGCCCCCTCTAAATATAACCCACTGTGCTGAGCTCAGACCTATTTTAGGCACAGTAAGGGAGGTGGCCAGGCCTTCCCTAGCTTTCACAAGTCACTGCTGCCTGTCTAGTTCTGCCCCTGGCACTGTCACTGGTCCCCTGACTGCACACCATCCACCATGCCTGAGGAGATCCAAGAAGGTAAGAGAGGGTGACCACAAGGGGAGAGGCAAGATCCCAGACCAGTGACCCGGTAGACCAGAAAGACCTGCCTCCTGTCATTTCTTTGGCTGGTCATCAGCATCTTGTCCCAACTCCAGAGAAAAGGGACCTGCCCCCTCTTCATGGAGAGACCTGCCTTGCCTGGAAGCCCTCCTTACCTTGAGTCCTGCCTATCTTACTAAAGATAGTGTGTGTGTGTGTGTGTGTATAAGGGAACTACCTGGTTTGACTACAGGCTATATATACTCAATGGGGTGTGTGGGCATGTTTAACCAGTTTAGCTCTTCCTTCAGTGAGGAAGCTGGGACTGGAGGTGGGTACCTGGCCAGGGGACTGGAAGTAGACAGGCCTCTGGCCTCTCCCCAATTGGGACTCAGTGTCCCCAGTGGCTGAGAATCATTGTCTTTTGGTTTGGCCAGATGTGACTCAGGAAGTTGGGACCTTGGTGGCCATTCACTAACTACTCAACTACATACAAGAGGTACTAGAGCTCAGAAGCCTCAGCATCAGAGACCTAGGTATGCAGCTAGCTTCGGGTACAGTACAGAATGTAGTACCAACTGTCAGGGCTCCAGCTGATGGCCCACAGCCCAGCTTGGCCAACTCCCCTTAATGCATCCCTGTGACATTTTTAACATTTTACAATGGATGGAAAAGGTCTAGTCCCTAGTGGTGGTGAGAAATGTTTACCTCCTTTTAGAGTCTTAACAATAGCATTGTGTATTTTTCCTGTTCACAATCTACATTCAATTTAGAAAGTGTGAGAAAATCAGAGCAGAAAGGATTTAAGATGACCTCCAACCCATGTTCCCAGACACAAATGACATAGTATGTTTGTGTTTTACTTGCTCAAGGGGACAGTTTTAAGCAAATCATGAAGATCTAGTTACTGCTTTCTAGTGACAGGTCCAGAGTTTCTCCTGCCACACTTACCCACATCAGGTGTCTCTGCCCCGACATACTTTGTTATCTATTTAACTTCCAGCTGAGCATCTTGGAGGTCTTAAGAGGCCAAGATAAAACTACCAAGCCAAAAACAGAAGATAACAGAATCAAATATTTAGAAGTCACAACACAAACTTGTGTGTGTGTGTGTTCTTTTTGGGGGGGGAGGCAGAGTGGTGCTAAAAATCACAAGTACACAGACCTCGGTAATGAAATGGTCAGAGGCTGTGAATGAATAAATCCCGAGCAGGAAACTGGGCATCTAATGGCCAAGCTCCCCAAATGAAAGGCCAAATCAAATCAGTCAAGAAAGTCCTTTTCTCAGCTCTCAAATTTTCAAACATAGTACTTATGTCCACATGTATCTATGTAAATATTTTATTCAATGGTGGTACATCATGTTGTTCATATTACCCTGTTGGGACTGCCATTCTGGAGGACAATTTGATAACAGCTTAAAAAAAATCCGTTCTTTGATCTAGTAATTTTACTTTGGGAATCTGTCCTTAATGCCTATTGAGAAACTGGGAAAAACCTTCCTTCATACTCAGTGATGGATGTCCATCTGGGGTTATTTATTTCCAAAAGGAATCAGAAACCACCTAAATGTCCAGGCAGCTTCAGAGGAATGTCCGAATGTGCAGTCTGATAACAAAGACAGTCTCCTGCCATGCTGCTGAGTGAAACCAGCAAAGTTCACATGAGTACAGCAGCATCCTACTGGGAATATTAAAGACTGCATAACCGAGTGAAGGCAGGAAAAGCACTGCAAAGGCAACAGCAGGGCAAAGAAGACACCAGGTCCTGGATCTAGTCTGATGGCTACCTCTGGAAAGGAGAAATAGGACTAGACTCCAGACACATGTGGGTGAAGACTAACAAGGCTGAAAAACTACTCACTAGGAATGAGCAGGCAGAGAAAGCCTGAAAGTCCTTGAAAAGCTTAGAATGAACAAACACAAGCTCAAGGTTAATCTGCCTCTTGCCACTGTGCACACAAACAGGTTTAAAGGTGTCTGAGGCATCCAGCCTCCAAACCAAGGATTATTCCCAAGTCAGTTTTAGGTGATTTGGAGCCAGATGCCGCACTGTCATCCATGAGGCCACCTGGGGAGGAGGGAGGGAATGACCAGCTGGCTGAGATCCCTCCACATTGGCCCCGCAGATACCCTGGCGCCCACACTGAGCCCAAGGAGCAGGGCATCACTGGCCCCCAACCACTTGCAGGAGGTGCACCTGTACCAGGTGGAGTCCATCAGTGACCTACACAGCGGAGGTAGGAGGGCAGAGCTATGGGACATGTGGACTGGGAGGGGGGAGTCAAGAACAGGTACACCCACAGCCCTTCTGATATGCCACCTGCCCCACAGGCTTACTGCACCCCTACCTAACCGAGGAGGCTCGGCCATGGGACGAACTTCTGGGGGTCTTGCCACCATCCTTATGTGCCCCGGCCGGTTGTGGCCCAGTGCATGGCCGTGGGGGATTCCTGCTGCTGCTCACATTGCTGGTGCTCACCTGTCTGGCACTTGCTATCCTGGCCGTCTACCTGAGTGGTATGGACAGTACGGGATGCCTAAGGGCAAAGCAGTGGGACCAGGAGGCCCTTCTGTGTGGCTGGAAGGCAAAGCCACAGAGACATAAGTAGGGGTGGAGAGAAAGTATATGGGGCAGTGCCCATGGGGACTCCTCATGCTGGGGCTGGGTAGAACAGGAGGGGTTGAGGGCGGCTACCTGGCTGACATCCTACCCTGCCTGCCCACCGCAGTGCTACAGAGTGAATCCCTGCGTGTTCTGGCACACACCCTGCGGACGCAAGAGGAGACACTACTGAAACTCCGGCTTGCCAGTCTTAGTCAGCTGCGGAGGCTCAATCTGAGTGAAGCTGGAGCACCCAGTTGAGATGCTGCCTGGCCCTGGGGCCTGGGGTTGTATAGAGGGGGAAATAAAGTGGCCATTGGCAGGGCCCTCCTCTCCCACTGCTGGTCATGTCCACACTACTTCCTCAGTGAGATTTCTGGGCAAGAGCAGGACCTAACCCCACAGTTGCTAGACTCTCCTGGCCTCTGCAGGCCAGATCGAGCCAAGTCTTTTGGTGTCAAGGCCCTGCTTTGGGTGGCCCAAGGTCAAAGAAGAGGGTATCAGCCTCCTAGCTCTTCCTGTAACTCGTCAGCACCCTCTGGCCATCCCCAGATAGCAGGCTCAACAAGCCCAGGAATACCCACCACCCCCATGCCATTCACCCAGACTCTGCCAAGCCTCCCAATAGGGGTCCAGCTTTAGTTTCCAAGACAGGCTAGACTCTGAGGAGGAAGGGGGGACCACTTGGGGAAAGGCTGCCTTGGAAGGCAAAGGTGAGATTGGACCCAAGTCTGGGGTGGTAGAGGGGGAGGGGAAGGGACAGGCAGAAACACCCAGAAGCCACAATATACTGAGCACTCTGTTTAATTGTCTCTAATAATCTTTAAAAATCAGCACAAAAATTTATTCCAGGTACCTCACCTCCCTACCGACTACCCAGATACTCTACTGCTCCCTTACCCAATAAATGAAGGCCTAAGAAGGGAAAAAGACAGTTTCCCCATCCCCTACTTCCTGCCCTACAGCCCTGGGACAGGCACACATCTGGTCAGGCCTATAATAGGGCAGGAAAAGGTAACAAGGCTGAGTACTAGGGAAAAGGGTCAGGGTCCCAAGCAGCCTGGCTGCCAGTTCCCCCACCCCCATACCTGTTTTTGGTTTTGTCATTAAGAAAATAAAGCAACAATAACTGGCGGGGACCAGTCACTGCACTGTCTTTTGTTAAAAACATGGGCAAGGGTGTGGAAAGTCTCCTCTTCAGTGGGTCCTGACTCACAGAATGTCTGCCCGCTTGTCCCGCACACGGTTGCGTGCCTTGGTCCGGGCTTTGAAGACGGCAGCGTTGTACAGGTGCTGGAGGGGCAGAGGGTGGTAAGCAGGGAAGGGGGAAGCCCAGGGTTCCAGAACTCCTCCTCTGGTCCCTGCAGAGCTCCAGTTTCCCAAGAAACAAGAGAATGGAGGAAAGATGGAGGTGCCCAAGGGTACACACCTTTTCAAAGCGTGAAATCTTGCAGGCCTTAAGGGCTGCAGCATCCAGCATTAGCACAGGGCCTAGACCAAAGATGTCACGGAGTAGCTCATTGTTCTGGGGACATAGAAGGCAGTGAGATCAAGCCAACTGGAAGCAGCCCTTCCTGCCTCCACCCTGTCTGATTCCCACCTGGAGGTGGTGGTGCATGCCAGAGCCCAGCACATCCTTGAAGGCAGAGTAGACCCGGCGCCGGGCCCAGCTGTTCACATAGAGCACCTCGAGCCCAAAGCGGATTGTCTCTTCCTCACATTCACCGCCCTGCAGGGTAGACTCGGCTTGGCTACGGTGCCTGGTGGTGCCCTCCCACTAGGACACACACCTTGAGATAGTGCATTCTCACACACCTCGACAAAGTGCAGTACATCTCGGAAAGTTGAGCGCTGGCGCCGGCGGTCAGCCTTGGCCCGGTACTTGTTGCTGTCAGTGGCCAGAGTACGCAGAGTACTACACAGGGCCTCCATGTCCTCATAACTAAAGTCTTCCTGCAGGGGAGGCATAAAGAGTCTGCGTTCTGTTGGCTATCAATAGGGACCACCCAAAGCCACTCGTCCCTGAGAATATTCTTTTCTTCCTCTCATGCCTGACTCTGAGCTCCTACTTGGCTCCTGCTGGGTTAGATGCCCTTGCCAAGGGCTCCTCTTACAGCACCTAACGTGGGCATCTATGTTACTGCCAGCTCCCCTCCACACTAGGCAAAGGCTTCCCTGCTCTCTGGTATCTCCTGCAGCCAGCCTGGGAGGGGCAGGTAGTACCATTCCCCACCCATTTCTTGCACCTCAAGTTCCCGGGCGAGTTCAAAGAGCAGTGCAATGGTCTCGCCAACGGCAATCCGCAGGTTCACACTTTCACTGGACAAGAGCTGGGGCAATCGGGGCAGCTGTCTGGGAAAGGAACAGACTGAGCTTCCTGTATCAGTGGAGGGTCTCCTCACCTTTCCCTTTCCCTGCCTGCTGCCTTACCTGTCTAGGATGTGGCTGATGTGGGTGCTGGGACAGATGGTGAGTAGCAATGCCCAGGCCTGCAGAGCAGCACACAGCAGGCCATGCAGACTTGCAGGGGCCACAGGTGCTGTGGAGCCACGCACCCCATAGGCCCGGCTGAAAACACTTTCTAAGCAAGTAAGGCAAGAGACCAGGTCCTAGGGGTACAGAGAAGCAGGGGAGTGACTCAGGGACACATGCAGGGTGTAGATGTTCTACCACCTGCCCCCAAAGGCCACTCACCTGGACATCAGCAGCTGCTACGTAACAGCCCAAGCTGAGAGCAGCAGCACACTGTTGAGAGGACAGTCAAGTCAGGGGGTAAGCCTGGGTCCCCAGTCATGAGCCCCATCACCCTTTATAGTAGGGGAGCCTGGAGTTGAGTGGGACTCACTACACTGCTTAGGGAAGGCGGGGTGGTGGTGTTGCCAAGCACGGGAACACTCACGTGGAGCCGGGCAGCAGGGCTAGCTGTGCCGTCGCTGAGCATGGAGACCAGGACGGGCTGCAGGCTGTGGAACAGCTCCTCACCCTTGGGCCCTGGGCCCAGCTGCACGCAGAGCAGACCTAGCACGGCAGCAGCCAGGGCCTGTTCCTCACCCTTCCCTAGGGGATGCTTTCTGGTTAGCCTATGCAGCAAGGGTCAGACCCGCTCAGTTCACGTTCACCCCCGACCAATCTTACTCCCAACCTTTTTTGAGGCACTTTTCCAGAGCATCAGCCAGAGTGAGGCGGCGCTCCAGTAGGAAGTCAGGGAGTAGGCGGGACGCCAGGGCTAGGCGCAGGCTCTCCAGGGCACTCTGCCGGGTCTTGGCACTGAGAGGCAGAGAAGAAGGGTCATGTGGACTAGTCTTCCCTTGGTCATAAGTGAGCAGGGACATGGATGTAGGGGTTGGTTGGTTGGTAGCTGGGGGTACCTCTTGTCTGTAAGGCAGTCCACATACTCCTTCAGCTTATCCTCAAAGTCTTCCTGCTGAGCCTGCTCATCCACAGCATCCCCCACTGCAAAGCCAACTGGTCAGTTCCACTTCCAACCCTTGCAAAGAGCCCCTACTGAACCCTTGCCTGCTTTCACTGGCTCTCACCAAGGCAGTCCTCTGTGGTGACACTGAGAAGGCTGGGACAGTCACTGGTAGTGCTTCGGGCCTCACTGGCTGCCTCATCCTCGCTGGAACCTGAGTCAGCTTGGGCACTGCTCCGGGCACCTGGGGAAGGTAGAATGGGGTGCTTGATTTGCCTCCATGATGAGGATGGCCCCATAACCCAAGACAGAATGTGACCCCTTCCCAGAGATAAGAAAACTTGAGACTGATGCAGGGCTGACACAAGGGACACTGAGCCAGGAGGCAGGAGAAAGGGAAGGTCAATTTTCTGGATGGCATTAGCTACAATTTGCTGGATGGCATTAGCCTAGGTACGCACACCCCCAACCCCCTATGCCCCGCATCAAGCCTGGTGGACGGTGTTACCCTGAGGCCAGAGGCCTCTTTAAAGAGGAGTCTAGGAGGTAGGTAGAGGTAGAAGGGACTGCACAGTCTCTACCGAGGCATGTGGCCCAGGCTGAAGTGGGGACCAGCCACCAGCTTGAATAATAACCATAAAGTGGGCATAGTGAGGGTCAGAGGCTTAGATTCTAGAATCAGATTCAGATTTCAAACTCTGGCTCCACATCTTTACAGGTGTGTGACCAGATCAAGTAGCCAGGCTCAGTTTCTCCATCTGTAAAACAGAGCTTCAAAAGAATCTCTTTTGGGTGCGGTGGGTGTTATGTTTACTTGTTATGGTTCTTCAGTGGGCCAACAATTTTACCAGGCCACCCATGGGCCCTGGGAGCAGCAGTCAAACTCTTAAGGGGTGAGTAGGCACCCCAGATTCTAATATACTATTCTCTAAGCTCCCCTGGTATGGCGCTGTGTATAAAGCATTGAACCGCAAGGTCGGTTTGAACCTTGAGGTCAGCTTTTCAAATTTACCAGTGGCCCCTTGGAACCCCTATACAGGGTTGCCATGAGTGAGAACCGGCTCCACGGCACTTTACAACAACAAGCTCCCATGGTGTCCTGGTGTGGCCACTCCTCAGAAACCCTTCACAGGGTACAGGGTCACTATGAGTTGGAACCGACTCAACACACTTAACAACAAGCTGCTCTTGGTCCATTCTGGGACTTCAGCCCTGAGAGTAGCAGCAGAAAGTAAGCTGCTATGTGAGCTCCTAAAGACAGGGGGTGTCCAGGTCAGCAGGGTTGGAGCACTCCTATACAAGGGACTCTGCCCAGGGTGAGGCTGACAGGCGCAGGGGCAAATTCTGGTCTCCAGATTAGCTGTACTTCTCTTGAAATATTCTCCCTGGCTATGGACAAAGTTCACCTTAACCAATGGTCTCTGCTCACCTAGTTCACTACTCTGCCTGGCAAAACAGCTCAGCCTTTGCATAATATGTTCCCTCAGCATGATGCTCACTTCTCCACCTACTCCAAACTCACAGAAGCTCCTCCCCTGGGAGGTCTCTCCCATTCCTAAATCTGGAGGTAACTCCACATAGTGAATGCTAGTCCTCTGGCTTTGGCACTTCCTGCTTAGATGTCCCCTTACCCGAGACCCATCAAGGCAATGACCAGAGCTAAGCTGTTTCCCCTTCCTGCACAGTAAACATATATGTTTACCACGCCAGATTACACTCCTGGTCGACACTGATAAGCAGGACCAGGGCTGCTACAGTGTCAGGGCATGGGCTCTTTACATCTCTTCGGGGGCTCCTACTGTTCCTCACATCCCTTCCGGGATGCCTCTCTTTCTCTCGGTTCTCCAGGCAGGTTGGACTTCTAGGATCTACCGCCGACTTCCTTGTACAGTCCGGAAAAAGACTAGGGCTTGGTGAGAAGGCTGGCCCTTTTTGGTAGATTCTTCCAACCCATTAAGTACCTGGGGTTAAGGGTCAATGTTAAAACAGGCCTCGAGGTGCTTGCCAGATTACCGCCGAGAACGCAGACTCTAGGCAGGCGGCAGTACGCTTAAGTTGGGTGCACACGTGGCTTCTGCTTCCCCGGGCACGTGCCAGCCTCCGGGGAGTTCTGGAAGGCTGCACCAAGCTGGTCAAGGTGGGGATCCCTACCGTAAGACCATCTGAGTCACCGACGGGGGACACAGAGAGGGGCCCCGCCCTCTGCCCATCAACTACACAGCGCCCCTTACTCACCCCCTCCGCGACGCTGGCCGCCCTTACGAGGCACGTTCCCCTTGCGGGCGCGGGGCATACTGGGAACCAAACACACGGGGCGCAGGGTCAGGGACCTGGAGGGTGGGGGCTCCGAACCAGCGAAACACTGGCCGGTGCGCGGTGCTGAGACTTCGGAAAGCGACTGGAGTCACACGCCGCGCGCTCCACCATCTTCGCGAAGCGCCCCGCCCAGATAAACGGGCCGCCGGGAAGGCGAGTTCCTGATCTTCCGATTTAGACCTGCATCCACCGGATCGAAACTTCCGTTCCCAGGTGGCTGCGCGCGCAGATTACCGCGGAGTCATTGAGCACACAGCACCTCGGGAATTGTAGTCTCTCCTGGGACTCGTAAGCCTGCGACGCTTTTACTGAACTATGCACCCACAATGCCCTGCATTCCCCTTAACGGCACACGTGCACGATCAAATTTATAAACTGCGCCCTCGGAGCAATCCTACAAGGCAGGACAGGGATCTCTGGACCCTTATGGCAAAGCACTTACGATGTGGCCTACGAGTGACCATGGGAGGAGTGTAGGGCTGGGTAGAAAAATGAATACAGCCAAACGTCAGCCAATGAAATAAAAAGCGAGTTTATGATGAAAGCAGAGTATAGACAATAGGTTAGCATACCCAGAGTTTAGCCAAGTTTTTCTTGGGGCTCACCCACCCTTGGATAGGTCTTCTGTGACTTCCTGTTGGACCCAGTCTGGTGCAGGAACAAAGCCCTGGACTCACAACCCTAACCAGCAGGAACCCTGACTCTGGGGTTGCTTCCCCACTTCATCAGGGGTCAGATTTTTGAAACTGTAGAAGAATCCTTTTCTCCAGACCTTCTTACTACCCAGGGATGGGGTGAGGAGGGCAGAGGAGTGGGGTATGTGCCTGGGAGAGTTGACTGTGAGCTGAATAGTGAAGTGGTAGGCCAGGGGCAGGTGACTCCTGGCATTATGCTGCCTCCTTAGACCCAGGCCTGGGCTTCTGGCAAGTGGATCCAGCCCAGCCGTAGTAACAGTGGCAGTTGAAGGACTCCCAAACTCCAGGGACACCATCAGGCGGCAGGTGCAGAAAGGCTTCCAGCTGCCCTGCATCTCTCCGGGCACAGCGCCCATGGCCATGGCATCGCTGGTGACTACAGGCCATGGCTGCCCTGGTCACATTGATCACATAAGGGCCCAAAGTGCCCACCAGATAGTCGTGGAGATGCCAGCAATCCTCCTGAGGGGAAGGAGAGGGATGTGCTAATACATCTACTTCATGGCCCCAATACTGGTCTCTCTCTGACCCTTGGACCCCCGCATGGGCTATATAGCAGGCTGAAGGGGGCAGTACTCACCTCAGAGCTGGAGAAGCTCAGATCCCCCCAGAGGACCACACCAGCTGCACCCAGTGCTGCACTCACACCCATGGTCTGAACAAGGTCATCCTGGAAGCAGAGAGCTGCTCAGCCAGGTCCGGGGTGGCCAGATCCGTCTAGACCCACCTTCACTTTCAAGAAGTCCTCCTGGTTCACTATCATGATCTGATTCCACCTCGAGGGTAGGACCCTTTGGCACTGGGTCTCTATGTGATCTCTCAGATCCAGAGAATCTCCTGTTAGATTAGTGCTCCAAGATTGGGCCTTACCAAGATCTTCCAACATATAGCCATGCCTCCCTCATCCAATGCCCCAGGGAAGGGCATCCCTTTCAGATAACGCTGAGCAAAGTCTCAGATCTTCCTAGGACAGGGCCCATTCAGATCTTTAGGTAAGTTTCCACTTACCTGGGTCAGGAACCTCCCAGAACGCCTATGTGTAAGGCGGGCATAGGCTAGGACAGGCAGGGGATGCAGGTGCCCAGCATGGGCCACACGAAAGGCCTCTAATAGACGGTGTTGGACAAAGACCTGGCGGTGGGCAAGAGGCAGCCCAGGTGGAAGATAGATGCTGGGGAAGAGGGCACTAGAGGCAGCCCAGAGCCAATGCAGCTGGGTGTTGCGGGCAAGGGTGGCTGCATGGCATCGGCCTGTGTAGTTGGAGGTCATGCTGTGCCAGCCATTGCCACACGCTGGAAAGCGGTAGAAGCCCCATAGCCCACAGGGCTGTAGCGCCCGGCCCAGCCGCAGTGTGTCCTCCATCAGTGCTCGGGCTGCATGTTCAAAGCCAGCCTGGGCCATATGGAGTTGCTCCCTAGGGTCCAGATGGGGGAACAGCTGCCTTGCCCAAGCCCATGAGGCTGCTTGATAAACCCGTCGGCGGCCCCAGTTCCCAGCCCAGAGTGGACACCATTCCTCCCAGTCCAGCACTGCCAGGCCAGCAAAGCTAGGTCCTAGGCTGTGACGGATCTGACAGGCAGCCTTTGCCAGGTGGCAGCCAAGGGGAACCATCTGGGGGATACCCCCATGGTGAGCTATCCCCTTGGGCCCAATGTAGGGATAGAGGCCAAGCCGATTCTTGTAGAAGATGGTGATGTTCTGGCCTTGGAAGCGCTGGCCATGGTTGATTGTGATGCCCAGGGCCTTGAGTGGCAGGTGCACGCCAAAGCGGTCCTTACAGTGTGCTGAGGGCACATTCCACAGTACCAAGAAGGGGTGTTTAGGGGCCCAAAGTGGGGGTTGGCTACACCCCAGGCACAGGGCCACCTCCAGCACCAGGGCCAGGCCTAGCTTCATGATCATGCCCCAGGGAAGAAAACCTGCAGGAGAAAGGGAGGGTGAACTTAGAGACAACACCTTTGATACAGCATGGGCAGCTCCCCAGCCCTCTCTAGTATTTGGAGATTGGGGAAAGCTGGTCCCCAAGGGGACCCACAGGCCTCAAGCTGCCCTCCTATGTTCTCTATCTCTACCATATGCTTTTGCATCCTTGTTCTCCACCCCCACCCCCACCCCCACCCCTTTCAGAAGGCTCCTTCTCTCCTCTGCTCATCTTGTTCATCTTGTTCCCTGCCCAAGACCATTTGGTCCTCACTTCCTTGACTGGTTATTTCCTGCCAGCACTCAGATAACTGCTGTGACAGCACCTCCCATGGCAGGTCTCCTGGATCCACAGGTGACCTTAAGTCATCTGGGTTCCCACCACCTCTGCACCGCCCCTATCCCTGCATGGACCCTGCTGCTGTAATCCTTTATCTTTGTCTTTTTGGGTCAAATCCATCTGTCTTCTTGCCTGTGCCCAGCCCAGGGCCTGACACAAAATAGGTGTTTAGTGCATGGTGATGAGTGAATAGGAAGGGAACAGCCACTCTGGTTTTTGTCCCCTGGGCCTGGCAGTGTGGGAGGGCAAAGGGCCGGTGTTCTTCCTCCAGGGTCCCAGGGCCAAGGTAGATCTGGGGGCTCATGCAGGGACAAGACTGGGATGCAAGGGTGGGGGTCACCCAATGAATAGTCATATCCACACCCAACAAAAGTCTTTATTCAGCCACACTGATGGCTTTGAGCCAGAGCCCTGAAGGCACCTCCTGGCTCTGCTGGCACTCCAGAAACATGTAGGCTAAAGCCACCCCCAGGGTCTAGGGGTTAGTACTGTCCTGAGTAGTCCATTGACACAAAAAGATGATGTCTTGCCCTGGGTAACTTTCAGATGTCTTTCTCCATCCAGAAGATGGTACGGCCCCTCAGGTCTCTGTATCGTCTCTCTAGTAGGTTTTGTGGACAGGAGCCTACTGGGGTTGGGGTGGTCAGAAGCTTAGGCAAGGGAGGGGGTGGTGGCAATGGGAACCCTTTGGGGGCTCTTGGGGCAGCTTGGGCAGTCAGCTTAGGGGCCTTACAAGGTGGCTGGGAATAGGAGGCCTTGGGAAAGGCACTGAGTAGGGTGGTAGGCAGCTCTCGGCTGGTGAAAACTAGGCCCTGCACAGGCTCACTCAGCTGGTACCCCAGGTGGGCGTAAAAATGCATCTGATCCTGGGTAGTGAGGTGCAGTCTGCAAAAGCCCTGGGATTTTGCAAAAACCTCCAGGCCCTCCATGAGGCGGCGGCCAAAGCCACGGCCCCTCAGGGCCCGGGCCACCACCACTGTCTCTACCAGGAGACTCTGGGGCCGGCCTAGCACCCGTGACAGGCGAGCATGGCCCACTACAATAGGAGGTGCCTCAGGTGTGGGGCGGGGGCTCAGCAGCATCAGGCAGAGTGGGAAGGCATCTGAGGACTGGCTTAGGGAGTGTAAGCGAGAGGCTCGACTGCGAGGCCACTGCTCATTGATGAGATCAGCACAAGCATCCAGGAGCTCAGGTCGGCAGTGCACAGGCTCCAGGGTCAACTGGGCCAGGTTGGGAAATTGGGTCTCCTCTGGCTGGTGTGCAGGATCTGAAATCATCTCAGCTGAATGAGGACTGAGGGGCATCTCTGATTGGTGTGCAGGACTTGTGGTCAGCTCAGCTAGTCTGAGGCTCGGAGTCAGCTCTGGTTGGTGTGAGATCCAAGTTCAACTCTGACTGGCACGCAGGATGTAGAGTCGGCTTAGCTGGTTTGGGACTCAGGATCAGCTCCATCCAGTATGCATGGTCTGGGGTTGGGGTCGGCTTGGATAGGCTGGGATTCAGTCAGTTCTTGCCTCAATGTATGTAGTAGGATCCAACCTCAGATGAGCCAGGCTGCAGGTGGCTCAGTACCAGGCTGGGAGTTAAGGCCATGTTCTCCAAGCAGTGGCATCTCTTCAGACCATAAGGGGTATCCTGTGGACAACAGCCCATGCTGGGCCAGGCCGGCAAGGCAGGCAGGATTGGGGTAGGGAACTAGTAAAGAGTACAAGGGGTATCATGTATCCTAGAACTGGGGTGTGATGGGCTGTTCCCTGTCATCACACTTACCTGATTGCACAAGTGATCTAAAGGAAACCCACTCCCTATACTTAGTAGGTCTAGCTCAGGTGAAGAGTAGGGAGTATCGGTTCAGGGTATCCTGCCCCACACTGGATAGAGACTGAGGGCAATGGCGAGCTGCTGCTGCAGTCCAGGGTAAAACCCAGGAGTCCTGGCTCCAGCCTGCTCTGGCTCCAACTTTTGTCTTCCCTTGGACTTCATTGTGCCAGGACATCTAATTCAGCCTCCTTGCTGATCATACCATCATCACCATTCCATCATCAGAACTGACCCTCCACTGGATAAAACATGCAAACTCAACTGGTGACTTCCCTGCTAAACTGATCCAAGGTCTCCTTCAGGGGGAATGCAGCTGCTCTAACACTCCCCTGTCTCTTTTTGCTCCTTACATGCCAGCTCTCCTCCAACTTCTAGCTTTTGAACCACATGTGCAATGCCCACTGCCTAGCCAATACGGGCTCAGCTATCCCTCTTAGGACTGCCTTCTCTACCTGGGGCACAGAGCCCATGGTTCCTTCTCCAACTCTGCACAGTTTGCAATACTTTCATTGAGCCTGGACCCAACTGTCTGATCAGATGGTGTCCTGGACCCAGAACCAACACAGGGCCTTACCCAAAGTAAGACAGTGAGGCCCCTGCAGGTGTGGTTCCCCACAAGCCTGTTTCGTAGCCACCCTTAGATAAGGGCCTCAGCTTCCTTCCTACATCCACTGGGGTGTCTAACGGCCACCAAGCTGGAGATCCAGACCTCCTATATCTAATACGCACTGCTTGCCCACTCTGCCCCAGGCCCTGCTGGCAGAGGGAGTCTTTATGGGATTTCCATGGGTGGGGGACAACTGGATCCCACTCCAACACTTACCTGCTCCAGAAGGGGTGTCTTGGATCCCCTCTCCCACCTCTCCAAGAAAGGCCCCTGAAGGTGAGGCCAATACAACGCTGGTCAGTAACAAGCAGCCCCCTCTTCTCTCACCACATCCCACTAAGAGACTTGTAGGTCTCTCACCTGCACCAGCTTCCTCCGAAGCAGCAGCTTTGCACCTCTGGTAAGGAGAGATAAAGCCCCCAGGATCCACCCCTCAACAGGAGCCCCAGACTTCCCCATCCTCAGGGTTTTAACCCCTTTGGTACTGACTCCTCCTCCTCCAGTGGGCGGGACTGAACACCTGCGTCGCTCAGAGGAACTGCACCATCTTTCTGGTTCCTCGACGGTTTCCCTCTCCCTCCTAATGGGTCACGAATCATGGAGTTTCTGGGGGGGGGGGTTGGGTGGGTGTGTTCCAGCATACTCAGGAAGTTAAAGACCGGCGAAGGGTGGGCATACTGAGCAGCATGGTTACTTGCGGACCGCACACGCAGCTCTCATGGGAAGCTTGGTAGGCAGCTAGGGCAGGTAGCCCGCGGGTGAGGAGGGGACGGTACTGACATGCTGACTCCGGGCTCCCGAGTACTCCGCGTCCTCGCTCTGTACGGGTCGGGATCTTGCTCTGGCTCGGACTCCTCCGTCTGTCCGCGGCTTGGCGGACACACTACAGCCGTTGAGGCTTGCAGTTTACGACCAGGTCCTCAAAAGTTTCCCTTAGGGTCCATCCAGGTCCCACTCCGAGCCTCGCGCGACATCCCTTACGCCCCGCCCCCCGGTTCAGTGCGTCATAACTCTGCCTCGGCGCAGACTCAGCCTAGGCCCTGACTCCGCCTTTGCCCCGCCCCTGCTGAGTCAGGCTACGCTCCCAGCGAGTCTCAGCGCTACAGCTTAGGTCCCGCCTCTGTTCAGTTCCCCCGTCCAACACGTCACATCCTCTGCTGGGCGCAGTCTCCACCTCCTGCTGACTCAACTGCTGGGACGCCTAGCCCGCCCAGGTTTAGGCAGTTCCCGTCCCGCCAGGCACTCACCTGCGAATCCCAGGCCCACCTATCTTCCCTCCTCAGCCAGCGTGAAATTGGTCGGGTCAGGTGAAGTTTCCTTCAGAAACTTGGGCTCCGCACTGGGAAGTAGCTGCCCATGTACAGAAATCTGACCAAGTGAGACCAGTCTCCTTCGCCCTCTAGATCTCGGGGCCTGCACATTTTAGACGCTTAATCAACAGCACGAAGCAAGATTTTTGTCTACTTTATTTGCGGGACTACGCAAGAACTAGTGCCTCTGAGTGGGTTCAAGGTTTGCGCAGGGCTGGTCACAATCCACACAAGAGTCGGAGTTCTGCTCAAGGGCTCCACTTCTCCTTTTGTGTGTCTTAGTTTCCTAATGGTGTTGTGTGAGAATTAAAGGAGCTAGTCCAGTTGAGGAGTCCTGGTGTGGCACTTTAGGATATGCACTGGACTGCTAACCACAAGGTCACCATTTCAAACCTACCAGTTACTCCTTGGAAACCCTATACAGGGTTGCTATGAGTGGAAAAGAACTTTATGGCACTTAACAAAAATCTAGTTGAAATGCTCTGGCATAGGTGTTTCAGTGAATGTCAGCTTTTGCGGTGGCTGCAGTTAAGAGACTGGCTGAGTGTCTGGAGGAATTGGCTATGACTCTGCTTGGTGCCTGTGGACATGGAGTAGATAGTGGCTGCCCTTGGCTCCAGTTCCTTATGTGACTATTCTGGGCTATAGGCATGTGTGTATGTGCTGGACATATGCCCATGATAGTGACTGGACGTACTCCTGACTATGACCATGACTTGTGTATCTGAACTTGGAAAGCTGTGGCTAGCCTCAGAGTGGAGTGGATTATTAGATGCTCGATGTGCACATTCTTGTAGATGACTAGTCACCATGGGCCCTGCTGTTCACACCATGTTCCCTGCCAGCCATGGTAACAGCGACATTCAAACTCCTTAGCCATCTGAGCCTTATCTTCAAGAGACAGGGCACCCCGCAGGGTCAGGGGCCCACCACTACTAGGCTTGGGCTGGATGAAGAAACTGGCAGGGTTGAGGAAGAGGAGGGCATCAGGGTGGCTGGCGCGGCGGACACAGCGGCCATGGCCTGAGCACAGGGCGTGACTGCAGAGAAAAGCCCCACTGGTCACATTCAGGATGAAGGGCCCCAGTGTGGTATCCACATACTCCTTGATGGCCTGGCACGATTCCTGGGGAAGCAGAGGGACTGTCAGGGATATCCTGGTCACACATAGGCGTACATGGGGTACGGAGTCATTTACTTGCTAGCCAGCCAGGACGGCAGAGGTGAAAAAGATGGGCCAGGGTCTCCCCAGACAGCCTGAACTCCCCTCCTCCTCCCAGTCCTGAGCTCACCTTGGTTCTCGTGTTCTCCCAGCTCACCCACAGCACCACTCCTGCTGCTCCTTGGGCTGCACTCTCCCCCAGGCTGTGCTCCAGCTCATCCTGGGGACAGGGACAGCATAGTGGGACCTTCCTCCCAATCATGACAGACTGAGGGAACACAATTAGATGGGACAAGTAGCTCTCTAACCCTCCCTCTGGACCTGCTCTGGTGGCCTCAGAGGCAGATTTGTCCCCTGTAGTCTGTGAGCACCACACAAGGAGGGCTTACAGCTTTCTAATGCATGCAGAAACTCCAGTGCCAACATAGAGGTTGACACAAAGCATGGGCTCAATGAAGGTGTGAAAGAATGGATTTAAGTGCCCCAAGGTACATTTACAAAGTGGGCAGGGTCACAGAAAGTGACTCACCAGGGATAGAAAATGCTCTGTCATCTCGTAGAAGATCTGGGCATAGGGCAGCACCGGTAGGTCAGTGTCTCCAACACCCATGGTCACACGGAAAGCTTCACCTACGCGGTGCCGCACATACATCTGTGCTTTCCCTGTGCCCTTCAGCACAGCAGGCAGGTAGATACTGGGGTAGAGGGCACGGCTCTGACGCCAAAGCCACCCCAGCTGGTCATTCTGGGCAACAACGCCTGGTGGACATTGTCCTGTGTAGTTGGAACTTAGAAAGTCGTAGTTATAGCAGTCAGGAAAGTTGTAGAAACCCCAGAGGCCACTGGGTCGCAGTGCCTGCCCCAGCTGGAGGGTGCCTGCCATCCAGGCTTGTGCAGCCTCCTGGAACTGGTTCTGGGCTGCTGCTTCTACCTGAGAATATGGCCAATCTGGATGTTGTTCCTGTACCAATGCCCGTGAGCGCTTCCGGTAAATATCCTTGGCATCCCAGTTGAAGGCCCAGCGTGGGCGCCACGCCTCCCAGTCAATAACCGCCAGCCCTGAGAAGTTGGATGCAGGCATGGCAATCAGAATGTCCTGGTGTGCATAGGCCAGGTGGACAACCAGGCTAGCATTCTGGGGCAGGCCTCCAAACACTGGCTCTGCAGTAGATGTGTAGTAGGGGTAAGTGCCCAGCTGGGAGCTGTAGAAAATGGTCATGTCAGGGCCTCGAAAGGTCTGCCCTGGGTTGACCACCACATCAAAGACACTGACATCCACATCCACTCCATGTTTCTCCAGGCACCATTGGGTGTTGGCATTCCATATGGTGGTGAAGGGCTGGTAGGGTATCACAGGGTCCTTGGAGCCTTGAGCCATTCCCAGCAAGGTCAAGAAGAGAGCACAAAAGGACAGCAGGTGGGCTGCCATGGTTCAGAGCAGGTCTATGGTTCAGACCAGGGAACCTGGTCAAGGGAGGCAGAGCTGAGAGAAGATTTTGAACTCTGAACATTACTTAGGCCAGGCAGCCTAAGTCCCTTGCTCATCAAACACCCCTACTCTGGTTTCAGGCAAACATTGACCTGCAGGACCCAGGAAGGACACAGGGCAGAGGATAGGTATGGAGGGGAACCCTGCCATTGGAGGCCACCTCTCGGTTGTCTCATAGGCTGGGCCTCTACCCTCTACCTCACAGAATTTAGATCTGGCCTCAAACTGCCCACCCACCTGAAAAGCCAAGAGCCAAGTTCTTCACTGTTAGGCTGACCTGCTGTTGGGGACCTTTCCTGCCCTTTCTCCCAGGTATCCTGGCAATTCATTAGAGGAAGGGAAGTTCTGTGATCAAGGACAGGTCAACCCAGCCCTCTTATAAACCCACCAGCCACCAGCTTGTTCCTCCAAACCTCCTGATTTCAGGGCCTAGGCAGTACCCAGCCAGATTCTGTTGTTCCTCAACTCTGGCTGCAGTCACGCCAGAAACTCTTGGAGGAAGAAGCTGCTACTGGAAAATGTGAGCTTTTGTAGGGGGTCACTCCACCCAGTCTGGGGGCAGGCCAAGGGGTGGACCCTGGGTTGGGAGTTCATGCCAGACAGCAGTCATTTCTGCACCCCCAGCAAAGTGCCTTTGGTGGTGGGAAGTAGCCCCTCCCACCATGTCAACATAGGGCAGGGCTTTGTGGCTTTATTGGGAGGGAGGACAAGGGGGTTGTGGCTGCTTGGCTAGCCTACCCACTGGGCAGGCCTCTTTGTGTCCTCAGTCTGGGTCCCTAGGAGCTGTGAACTTTCAGGCACAGCCATAATCCAACATTCATGGGCCCTTCCTCCTTAAAAATGTAAGAATATACTTTACAATTACGTTGTTATGACAAATATGATCCAGGCTGGATAATGATTATATATTATTATATTTTTAGTCAGATTAAAAAAATGACATTTTAATGAGTCCCTAAAAGTATTGTGGAGTCCTGGTGTGGCGCTGTGGGATAATGTGCTAGACTGCAAGGTCAGTTTAAACTGCAAGGTCAATGGTTCAAACTCATCAGCTGATCCTCAGAACCCCTATACAGAGTCATTATGAGTTGGAATTGACTCAACTGCACTTAACAACAAAAGTATTGTAGCCCTCAGGGTCTGTGACTGCTGTGTCAGGCAAGAGGCTCTGAAAGTCTGTGAAGTCAGAGCTGTGTGGTCACCCCTTGTCAGTTTCTTAGTCACCATCTGGGCCTCTGCACAAACTCCAGTGGTATGTATTTATACACATGGGACCCAGTCCCTGGGACTAGGTATATGTGAGCCCCATATCTGTAACCCTGAGACCCCATATTTGTGTGACCATTAATGGGACTACAGGTTTATCAGTGATCTTGGGTTTATTCATTAGTGTATGTTTTCACGTGTTCAGATTCAGAATTTGATTATTGTGACTTTTCACGTGCCCAGGCCCAGGCTTATCTGCCAGGGTGAAGTAAAGGAAGCAACCATGTCCCACTTTGGGGATGCCAATGGATCTGTGAGTCCCTGGCTTGGTGGCCACTGTAGAAAACAGTGTTTGCAGCTGATTACTGTTTGGGCCTGGTTCCCCAGAGACGGCTGAGATGGTGACACTGGAAGGTCTTCAGAAGGAGAGCAGGCCCAGGATGCTGGGGGCTGTGCGCACAGTGGCTGTGGCCTGAACAGTGTGTAGCCAGAGTCAGTGGCTGCTAATCCTTTTCGGGAAGTGGAGTCTTACATTAATGAGCATGTAGGTCCAGTAAGTCTGACACAATTCGTAATGGCTGAGGGGACAGAAGAGCATCAGGGCAGCCCCTAACCTCCCATCCCTGAGGCTTCATGCTATCTTAGTGGCCCCAGCACGTGCTGCAGCTGACACCACTGAGGCGACCAGCAAGCCAGCACCTCCAGTTGGCCTCTGTCCAAGAAGTTCTAATGAAGAGGCTGGGGATGCCGTTCTAAAGCCCTTTCTTTTCAGGGCCCAGCCCAGATTGGTGTATGTGGTGTGTTTGGGGTCAGTCTACCTTGAGGGTCCAGCTCTGCTTGCTCTCTGGATGTAAATACCTCAGGCCTATGGGCAACTTCACCCACACCCTCTCCCACCTCACTCACAGGACAACTCTGGCAGTCCCTGAGTTGAACTTTCCCAAGGCTGTCTTCAGATCCTCCTGGGGAAGTGATGTTTCCACTACAGTTGTGGGGGAGTCACAGATGCTTGGGAAAGGTAACATCTATGTGTGGTGGTCATAGTTTTGGGTTGTTGTTATGTGCCGTGGAGTCGGTTCCGACTCACAGCGACCCCATACAGGGTTTCCGAGGCTGTAAATCTTTACGGGAGCAGAACACCTCATCTTTTTCCAGCGGAACAGCTGGTAGTTTCAAACTGCTGACCCTGAGGTTTGCAGCCCGATTCGTAACCACTATGCTATCATAGCTCCTTACAGTTTTGGGTACATGGGGTTAAAAGTACAAAGTGGTGGTAGCGAATATTCACAGGTGTGAAGGTCACAGTTGTAGAGTCACACCTGTGTGTGTATGAAATTACAGGTATGTTGAGAACTCACAGCTGTGGAGGAGTCACAGGTGTTATCTGCTCACTGGGGGGAAGGGTGGGGGGGGGCATCTATCTGTCTTTGTCTCAGTTAGAAAGAGAGAAAGTTACTGGTATGGGTGAAGCAGGTCCCAGGTATGCAAGGCTCACATATGTATGGAAAGTGTGGACAGTTGAGTCCACAGGCCGGTGGGAGACAGATGACAGCTTTTCCTTTTTTTGCCCTCCTTCTGCTGGGCTCCAACCTGAATCTTATCTCCAGTTTTGCCTCTTCCCACCATGGCCAGGAGCATCTGGGCACCCCTCTGCCTCCTCGTCTACCCTATGAATTTACCTCATTGCCCTCCCAGTCCTACCACAAAACCCACTTTTTCTCCATTCTCTGCCCACCAAGAGCCAGAGGGATGAGGGCTAACCTTACGATGAGACTGACCTCCATCTGGCCCAGCTCTGGGGCTCTGCCTCTGGACCTTGATATCTATTGTCTATGTGCCTTTGGTACAGCCTCTACTGCCCAGCACTGACTCAGTCTTCACATCTAGCATGTCTCTCCCCTTCCAATATGAGAAGTAGGAAGCACCTCCTCAAGATGCCTCCCCTGAGTAGCTGCAGCTGGGCTAGGCACCTTGCTAGCCACTTAAGCTGTTTTTGAGTCCTTCTCCCAGTGAGTTTCCTAAGGGCAGGGGTCACTGTGAGTAAACTCTAACTCTGACAAGGGAGTGGCTGAGAACTACCTTCTCAGGTTAACACCTATCAACTCAGAGCTGGTCTAACTGCTGTGGCAGCAACTGCTTCCCTCTGACACTAGTCATATCCTTCCATGATCAAGACCGAGCTGACCTTTGAGGATGACACCCCTAGTTCCAACATGCATATCTGCAATGGGACAGAGACTAGACTTCAGGATTCATATCAGAAGCCCCTGCCTACTCCCACTCCCCTGGCCCAGGGCAGGCAGGGTTGTGACCCAGGCAGGAAAAGGTATGGTATGTGTGGCTGGAGTCCATTTCCCTCGGGAGAGGGGAGTGGAGGAGAGGCCCTTGCCTGTGCTAACAGCAGGGAGGGGTGGTCTGGCTACCTGCCCAGTCAGGGAAGATCAAACATCCGCTTCTCCCTGGGTGGGCGAGGCGAGGCAGCTGGCACCAGCCCAGCTGTGGGTGCAGGGGCAAGTGGTGGACACACAATGAACTCTGTCTCTCACACAGGGTTTAGCTCAACCTCCTTCCAATCAATGCGCATGGAGAAAGTAAGGCCTTTGGGATAGAGTGTGGGTCCCTTCAACTCCAGTGGCCCCTGCCTGAACAGGACAGTCGTAGGGTAGGCATCCATAGCTCAGGGCCCAGTGAATGCATTTTATAGACAAGATAGCCCCAGAACAGGATCTCAGAGGCATAGACAAAGCTGGCCTCAAACTTCTTGGGAAAACCTGGAAACTCCCTCACACACCCTTGCCCAGGTACACAAAGTCCAAGCACAGATGCATTTGTTTTATATTTAATTTATAAAAAGAAACCCTAAAATATTAACAATAAACTATCCAAGAATAGGGGAGTAGAGTCAGGTCCTTCCCTATGCTGCTGTACCCCTCTTCCCTCATGGCAGGGAGATGGGCCTCTCAGGAGACTGCCCCTCCCCCTTAGAACAGGGGGAGGGGGAGTGAGAGCTGTTATGGATGCCTCAGCTGGACATCCTGGGGGCCCTGCCCCCATGCCCCCACTGGACTCACTTGTCCACCCCTTTAGGCTCCTACATGCCTGGCAGAGCCCTCATGGCAGAAGCCAGCTTGCCTGGCAGCAGGTGGGAAACCCCTAAAAGGTCCAGGTAAGGATCAGGGCTGTCAGAGTCAGCAGGCTGGGGAGGTAGGACCCAGCCCATGCCTGGGTGGCACTCCCAGATGCCTTCCCATGGTTCCATTGGCATTGTTCGCCACCCCAACCCAAGTAGCACTGACAGCGAAAGTGTGTCTGCAAGTGGTCACGGTCAGCCCTGCTGAGCTCCCCTTCAGGTCGTAGCTGGGGCTCACCAGGTCCATGGTTAGGCACTAGGCGAAAGCTGCTGGAGCTGAGGTGCAGAAAGGCATTGGCACTGGGGTCTCTGCGCACACAGCGTCCATGGCCATGACACTGGGCCCAGCTGCAATACTGGGCAGCCCAGGACACGTTGACCACGTAGGGGACCAGCAGTTGCGTCAGGTAATTCTTGAGGTACTGGCAGGTTTCCTGGGGTGGGGAGGGGCGGGCAGGAATCAAGGATCAGAGTTGGCTGGCCCAGCCTACAAGCCCCGAGGAAACTATGTCTACACTTTTGTGACCCTATCTTCTCTTATCAACATGCATGTGTGTGCACATGTACATGCATGTGCATGCCCCAGCCCTCAGTTCCTGCTCTTGCTGGGAGTGGGTAGGGGCAGAGACTGAAGTCCAGCTGGCAGGCAGGGGAGGGTGGAACTCAACAGCTGTTCAGAAGAGTTTCCCCTTTCCTGGAAACAGGGTGGGGGTGCCTTCTCTGCTTGAAACCAGGAATGTCTGGGGTGGGAAAAAGTCAAGGTTTGGCCACCCTGAGGTTGGGAGCCACAGGTCCAAACTTTCTGCCTGTTCTTGTGGACTCAGATCTTACCGTGCTCGTGGTGTACCCTGCGTCACCCCAGAGGATGACACCGGCTGCACCCAGGGCTGCGCTCTCGCCAATGGTGGAGATGAGGTCTATCTGTGTGGGAAGGGGATAGTCATGAGGGAGCCTGAGACCCAGGGTCAACAGGATAGAGTGGGCAGTCCCCAACCTATCCTAATTTGCTGATGCTCTGGACCTGCCCTCTCCTCACTGGTGGTAGTGGTGTACCATGGAGTCAGTTCCACCGCATACCGTCTCTGTACAGGGTTTCCAAGGCTGTAAATCTTTATGGAAGCAGAAAGCCTCATCTGTGTCGCACAGACCAGATGATAGTTTCAAATAGTTTCGAACTACTGACCTTGAGGTTAGCAGCCCCACTCGTAACCACTACACTACCAGAGCTCCTGTTGCTTCTTATTAGCAATTCTTCCTCTTCCCCTTCCCCTCCAGCTAGGAGTCTTTTTTCTACGTAAGTGTTTAAGCCTGCTTCCACCCCCATACTGGGTCTCAATTTCTCAAACTTAGCATACATTGAGTCTCAGGTAGCTATCTGGATAGACTCCAAAGTCAGAATACTTGGGCCCAAATCTCTGTACCTCAGTTTTCTCATCAGCAAAACGGTGATAATGATGCTACCCTTCCACAAGCCCACAGAAACGATGTGGTATAGCCACCAAGCTATAGATCTGGTAGTCAAAACATGCCAGTGGTTCCTCAAGGGAGAAGGGAGAAAGTAGGAGGCAGGATCTTGGGAGGCACATACCTTGCTGAGCCCTGTAAGCACACGGCTATAGGTGGGCCGCGTGAAGACATAGACTGGAAGTGCGTGGTTGTTGTGATGGGTGTTAGCCACACGAAGTGCCTCTTGTACACGAAAGCTGACAAACTTGCGCCCATGGGCAGAGGAGGCAAGTATCTCATCCAGGTAGACAGAGGGAAAGAGGGCTGTGCTCTCAGCCCACAGCCACGCCAGCTTGTCATTGCGGGTGACCTCAACATCTGGGCAGCGACCTGTGTAGCTGTCCCAGTTCTGCACATAATCATGGTTGTAACAGTCAGGGAAGAGGTAGAAGCCCCAGAGGTGCTTCGGGCGCACTGCCTTGACCCAGCGCAATGTCTCTAGCATGAACTGCCGTGCAGCAAACTCAAACACACATTGTGCCTGCTTGCCCACGCGATCCTGTGGCCAGTCAGGGTGGAGGTTGGCCACCAGCTGGCGTGACCGATTGCGGTACACGTCCTTGTCCTGCCAGTTGCGTACCCACACAGGCCGCCAGTCCTCCCAGTCAATGACTGCCAGTCCTGCAGGTTCCTGCATACGAATGTAGTGTTCCACATGATTATGTAGCAGCTTCAGGTGTGCCCAGAGGCTGCCGTTCTGCGGCACGCCACCATTCACAGATCGTCCTGCTGAGTCAAAGCGTGGATATAGGCCCAGCCGGTCATTGTAGAAGATGGTAACACTTTGATTCACCCAACCCTCATTAGGTGAGGCCTTTGCGTCGAAGGCTGTCAGGTCCAGAAGCACCTTGTGGCGAGGGTAACAGTCCTGTGTGGGCACATCCCATGCTACAATGAAGGGACGGCCTGTGAAGATGGGAGGCGCTGTAGGCTTGAGCTCTGTGGCCCATGCCACCACCAGCATTAGGGCCAGTGTGACGGCGGGGCTCAGGCCTGCCCACATGCTGGGGCTGCAAGAAGATGGTGTCACCTGCCTGACACCAATTCAGGAACTGGGGGAAAATTGGGAGAGAGCAAGTCAGACTCACGAAACCTGTAAGTAGGTACCTACCACAAGCCCATCTGAACTTTCAAAATCCACTCAGCACGGGCACTATGCCCGGGGCTGTTTATAACCAAGATGTGGGAACTCTGCTAGGGGTATCCGATCCCTTCCTGGAGCAGGTGGCCTCTCGCTGGGCAGGGACCTCTGAGTTCTGTGACCCTTATGTGACCCGCTGCCCAAAGACACATAGACTTGTGAGGGCTCTGAATCCCATCCCATGAAGAACCCTTGGTCCAGCTAAACGGTACCATTCAAAAAGGCAAAGCACAGCTCAGGCAGAGACTTGGAAGCTAAAAGGTACATGCTGAGGAGCGCCTATCTGTGTACGACCAGCTCGGCATTAGAGTGAAGCTGTCAAGACTTTGTTTCGTTTGCAGACTCTCACCCGGGCTTGGTGGAGCACCCGGGAGGACAAAGGGGCGGAGGACCTCCCATAGTAGCTATTCAGGCCGGCCAGCCCTTCCCTCCGCGGCCACCGGGTAGCGCGCGTTCGCCAGGCAGTCTAATCTGGGGTAGAGCGCACTCCGCAAGGCCTTTGTGCGGGACCCCGCCTCCGCCCCACACGTGGGGCCTGAGCCCTGTCTGGTGGGGGTGGGGTCCCAGGATCGTGCCTCTGGGTGCACTCCAGGGAGGGGTTCAGAGCCTAGCATACATTAACAGGGTCCCCTAGTCCTGCACTGCCTGTCCTCACCTCGCGCTGAGCGTTGCCCGGACCCGTTCCATGGCCACCGCCGCCCGCGGCCCAGCCCAGCAAACTCCAGCCACTCTCCCAGGTACCACAACCCCGGCTCCGCGCCTCTGTTGGCTCCGCCCCCTGCCCCCGGCTCCTTTAAGAATCCAGCACGGAGGCGGGCCCTGGGCAAGATTTGCTGCCCTGGAGGGTTGGTTCCCCGGCCTCCAGTGCTTCAGTTCCAGGTTTCGGCCTTCAGAGCGCCCAGACCCTCTACCCGGAAGTGTGGCTGTCCATATGGAGCTCTGAGCTCCCTCTCGATGATGTTTCTTTTTGAAGTCGCAGCCGCGAGTGCCTATTAGCCCGAGATTTCCCCCCTACAGTCTTCGACAGATGGTACAGACCTCTCCACTCCGCGGAGTTACCATCCCCTTAAAGGAACAGGCTTAGGACAGTAGGAAGAAGCGAGAATAAGAAGTTGCTTTCCCTTGCTCAGCCTTAAGGTGGTGCTATGGCATTCCGAGACCTTGTTTGGGGTACCAGAGGAAAGCAATGTACCTCCAAGCGTGGCTCCCAGCCCTGAAGCCCCTTTGTGTGGAAAGAAGGACCCTCATCAGGGTCTATTCTCAGACTTGGGGCATAGTTACGTACCACTTCCTCTGGACCTGGACCCTTTCCCCTCTTCTAGCCTGGAGGGAATCCCAGCCCTCTGCCAGACTGGGGGAGGTGGCAAAACATCTTCAGTCCTCCGGGGTCCGGATCGACAGACAGTGGTTGTCCTAACAACCTGGAGTGGGACTGGGAGCCGGGAGGCCAGTGGGGGCTAGAAGGGAGGGCGCCCCTCTGATTCCTACCTGCATCCGGGCGGGCCAGTCTCTGGGTTCCCGTGCCTTCCTACCCAATCTCTAGACGGAAGCTTCCAGGGTTCCCTCTCAACTCCAAGGAAGCTGCCACCCTTACAGAATTTCCTGGGCTGACTGCGGAGCAAACAGGCTGGATAGGTTCCACCAGGGCCTCCTTCCAGTATCCTGAGCCCACTATCCCCACACGCCCCTCCTGGTGAGAAGACTTGGAGCTGGGTTGGACCCGAACCCTAAGTGAGCTCCTTGCCGCCTCTTGTTATATCCACTCCCAGGTGCAGGGCTCAGCTCCTTAAAGGGCTACGGAGAAGAGGAAGGGGGAGTAGCTTCAGGCGCATCTATGGGTTGCAGATTATTGGTCTGCGCCAGGCTCACCCGTATGGGAGTCCGTAGGCCAAGTAGGCTGGGCAGGTCAGAGCCTCCCTCTTTCCCACTTGCACCAGCTGCTGCCCTAGGGGCAGCTTGCTGGCCACTTGATAACTCCATCCCCTCCCACTAGTTCCTGGCTCCCACCCTAATCCTTTCTCTTCACTTCCTGCTGCCCCTGAGAGAGGAAGAGAGCAAAGGGCCTGGAACAGGCTGGGGGAGGGCACCACCTACACCCTTTCCCTCTGGCATATGGGGCTGGCTGGCTGCCCTCCCCACCTTCCGCTGATTGGGCACTGGCCCCACCAATTGCACCAGGTGACAGGAAGGCTGGGGGCCCAGGCTCAGATACTGGCCTCCCCACACAAAAACACTGGGATACCTCTTCTCAGCCTTCCTGTGGACTGGGCTCATACGTAAACCTAAGAGCTTGAGTAGAGGGGTCCGGGGTGTTGTGTTTAGACTACTTGGGGGTGCTCAGCTGATGGTTCATACAGAGTTGGTGCCAATAAGAAGAACCATTACATCAGAGAAGGTTCAGAGAAGGGGACTTCCAGAGACGAGTCAATCCCCCCACCCCATCCCAGCAGAAGCATCCCTTGTTTGCCAGAATGGACCTGACTGTTGATATGTGACTGGGGAGGGGAGTTGGGAGAATTCTGCAAGGGGCTTTCCTGAAAGAGAACATTCTCAGAATTTCACCAATCAAGCTAGAGCAGAAAGCTCCTTAGAACATGGGTTAAAAAAGGGCTGTTTCTGTGGAAAAGGGAGCCCATAAATCTGCTGGCCCTAGGAGGGCTGCAACCAGGTTTGGTAGACCCTTCCAGAGGTGCAGTCATAGTAGCACACCTTCAGATCACCCTGAAGTTCTCCTGCCTCCTGATGCCAGGATCTCTCTCTTAACAGGCTGTGTGAGAAGTGGGTGGAGGAGGTAGGCACCTAGCTTGGTATTTGGCCTTAGGCATGGATAGGTAGAGTGTTCCTGTACCCCAAATGGAGGGCTTGGGAAGCTCCAGGGGTGGGGCCCCCGGGGAAATGAAGGCCAGACCAGACTGTCCCAGGGCAGGGACACTTCCTCACGCAACTAGCAGGAAGGAAGTGAGCACAGCCCTTGGGAGGCGCAGTGGGGAAGCACTGCCCTGACCGGCATTGTTTTCTAACTTCAGGGTCAGTTGGGGCAAGCCCAGTACAGGGAGTTCCCCCATGCTGGGACAGTGGTAATGGAAGATGAGGTGCCATCAGGAAAGGATGATACATGGCCATAGGGCAACCAGTTGGGAAAGAATGTGGAGGATGGGGCCTTATGCCTGGCACCTTATAGGAGAAAAGGGAAGGTATCTCATGGACTGAAGTCGAGGCTGTACAAAGTGATCCTGCCCTGGACCTGGAGGAAAGCCAACTCCCCTCACCCAGGAGCCTGTATCTCCTAAACTCCACTTCCCTGACTGGGAGTTGGGCCTGTGGCCTAGAGTTAGGCCTAGCAGAGAATCTACCTGCCTCACAGCAGGCCCAAGAAGTGCAGGCAGACTGTCCACAGGGGACAGGGAACAGAAGCGCAGAATAGGCAGTATTAGGAGGCATTAAGTCTTCCTGCTAAAACAGGAGTCTCCAGCCCACTATCCTGGTGGGTTTTGGCAGGTAGGCCTGGGAGCAGGGTAGGTCTACACAGCCTGGAAATAGGCTGTGATCGTGGTAGCAACCATCACTGTTGTGTATCAAAGGCTGAGCTGTGGTGGTGTTGAGTTATGGGTTCTGAGGGGCTTAGGGAGTCCAGGTGTAGCACTGTGGGTTAAGCACTAGACTGCAAAGTCAGTTTGAACTATAAGGTCGGTTGGTGGGTCACAATAAATCAGAACCAATGGACAGCACTTAACAACAACAAATGGGGTTCAGGCCAAGGCTTCACTTGGGATGGGTGGCATTTCAGCTGTTTTAGACCTACCTGGGGTTCTACCCTTACTTTAGGTCAGGCAGATAGGACCAGTCCCTAATGAGGTATCCCAAAGCCTCTTCATTCCAGGAGTCCCCACCACATTGAATACAATGAGCCTCCATCAGGAGCCACCCCCCGCCCCTCCCTGCAGCAAGGTCCCAAGCCTTGTGCACACACTGCCACCTGCTGGCTGTAAGCAGGACTCAGCCCCAGAGGATGTCACTCTTGTATGCCGAATCTACAAATAATTTTATTGAAATTGAACAAACAACATAGTAGTCTTCCCTGGCTGGGGATTCCCCTCCTCTAGCCATTTCCCCACACTCTAGAATCACACCATTTGCAGAGTAAAGACTTTTTAAAAAAGTCATCTCTATAGAAATCAGACTCTGCCGCAACATTACGGACTATTTACACCTTCACATTTTAATTCTTCCTTTTATTATTATTCCCTCCTTTCTGTCCTTACTTAGGGCACAAAAGGTAGGGGCTCCAGTACTTTCCCTTGACTAATCCTGAAGGGGTGGGGATATTACAGGGGCAGCGTTGGTGGGCTCCTCAGAGCTATTGGAACCAGCCCTGTTCCTTATTATGGGGTGGTTAAGTAGTGCCCTGGAGGAAGGGGGCTGGTGCAAAGGCTAGGGGGACTAGGGATTAAACAGAGTAGGTGGGTTGGGGCAACTCCCTGTAGGCACAGGAGTCCATACCCTGTCCTGACCCCTCTCAACTGGATGGCCAAAGCAACTAGTTGCAGTAGGGAGAGGTCAGTTCAGCCATGGGTGGAAGGAGAAGCCTCTCATATCCAGTATCCTCTACTATCAACTGCCAACAAAGTGTTCATCCATCTGGGAGTGGGACTGGTTGGGCAGGAAGCATGAGGCTGGTGCTGCCCCCAGCCTCTGTCCAACACAGGAGGAATCGAGGTAGCAAACGGCTGAAATGCTCCAACAAAGGGATTAGGGAAGTGAAGGAAAGGAACTTCTCACTTGTGTACAACGCCCACAGCCCAGGAGCTAGAAGAAGCAGACCTTGTTTGTAAAGTGCTGGAGCCTCCACCAGGACTGGGACCCAGGCAAACTTGGAAGAAAGCTGGCCAGGCAAGGGCACAGGAACCAGGTATTCCTGACCACGGTAGTCCTGTCTTGCTTCTTGTTCATACACAAGCCAACACCCAACCAACACTGCAGGACTGCCCTGCTTATAGCTGAAGGTTCCAGGCCAACAGAGTTTATTCAGGATTGTGCCCAAGCCTGAGTTCCACAAGGGGAAGCCACACCTTGAGCCTTGGAATTTCTTGCTGGGACAGGGAGCGCTCGTCCCTGCAGCCATCAAACTCATACTTCATAGAGGATCACAGGAAAATCCACATGGATGCGGGGGGTATCCAGCTTCACGATGCCCTGCCATGGAAACAAGATTGGTGAGAGCAAGCTTCCTGTTCCTCCCAGCTCCTCCCACAAAGGCCCCCATCAGGATAGCAGACCCTGTCTGGGTCTACCTTCACATACTTGACTAGGTGCCTCACCTGAGGAATCAGGTTCTTATGCACCCGCCTCAGCTTGGCCCGCTTCTGCCCATTCTTGGTGACGATTGTCTCCTCATAGAACTCGTGAGCCAGATCCCCATCTTCATCATAGAACATGGAGCTATGTAGAGAGAGAGGTGAACAGGCTGGGCTGGAGCTCCATACGTGGTCACGGTAAATGCCACAGACCACAGGGAAATGTAACCATACCTAAGTGGGTAGGAACAATTTGGCGAGAGAGAGACTAAAATGCCTAAAGAAATGTCTTGCTGGGACTTGAGAAGGCAGTGGGTTGTGGAGTAAACCTCTAAAGAGAGGTCATACCACATCACTGTCCAGGCAGTCAAGGCCAATTCTCACCCACAGATTGTTCAGCAAAGGCAGCCCAGTCCAACTTGTTTTCACCCAATATAGCACAGGACCTCTACAGTGGGTAGGGTGATTGCTGGTCCAGTGCCAAGGTCTGAGGCAGCATTTGCCCAAGCTCAGAGGGAGCCTAAAGGTGGCAGATGTAGTCAAACTGCTACTGTTGAATCTCCTGATTATCTATTAAAATCTCCATCATTACCTGAGTGTCTGTCCTCTGAAGCCCACCAGACCAATTTGGTGTTCTTGTCTGGGCCTCTGGCTGGGAAGGTCAGCACTCCAGGTCTGGAGAACAAAACTGGGTCTTTTTTTCCCCAGGTTCACCCTCAAATGTCTACTCTTATTACTGTGGGGAAAGGGAGCAGCCAGACAGAGGGTCATTCCCCCTAGGTAGAATGGGGTTGGGAGGGTGGGGCTATGAGACTTGGGACTGCATTCTGGGGTGGCTGGGATGAAAGAAGGCAACCCCGAAGTTTCATGGAGGCCTTATCCAGTGGGAGAAGTGACACCTTCTTCAAGCCCAGGGATGAGCTTCTAGTCGATTCTTCTGCTAGGAAGGCCAGAAGCCGACAGCCCAGTTTTCTCATCTCTTGCTCTGGTAAAGGCCTAAAATATGGAGTCGTCCTGATCCGGGAGGCGGCGGGAGTTCCCAATGTGCGGACGACCTCCCGCCCACCCCGGGCGGGGCCCGTGCCCTTACCCGCGACGCGTGAAGACGAAAGGGGGCACGGCACGGCCTCGCGGCCGCATCAAACCCTGCTCAACACCCACTGCTCCGGGAGCCTCCGGGCCACCGCCCCCCGCCGCTGAGGCGAAGGGCCACAGGCCCCGAGCTTTGGAGCCGCTGGCGCCCATGTCAGGGCCGCCGGCGCATGGCGGGCCCTGGGTCCCTGCGCCCTCACAGAGGTAACGGCGCCGCCATGCCCATCTTCGGCCTCCGATTGCAGGTGCCGCCTTCGCCTTCCGCAGGTTCGATCGTCTCCACGGAAACCTCACTTCCGCTTCCGCATGACCCACGCGATACTCCTTCTGATTGGCTGTCGCTCTCGTCGGTCCGCCGGATGAGACCAATGGCTGACCTCAGACGCTGAGCATCCCAGCATGCGTTACAAGACGCAAATCCTGGCTCCTCTAACCTGTAGCCAGCTGACAACTCCCATCCAGAGAGCTGCTTTCGTATTCTTCTGTCCACTTCGGAGTGTTGTGTACAGTGGCCCCCACATTCCTGGTCTCAGAGTTCGTATTGCCCAACCACCATGACCCTTGAAATCCAGGCCAAGCCGTAATATTCAATTCCCACAAGTGTCTTTTCTATTGCCACCACCACATATGAAGAAACCAAATTTAAGTAAAATTAAGAAACTGGCCAAACGTCCCAGACTCAGGTCTTAAGTTCTCTTTTAAATTCAGTGTTCTTTCAAAAAAGAATGTAAACTTCATGAAATCAAGAATTGTTAACAGCTGAACTTTGGGTGCCACAAGCGGTGTCTGGCCCACATCCCAATAAATGCCTATATGATGAAGAAGCTGGTGTATGTTTCCTTTAACTGACTACAGCTGATATTGAAACCTCACCACAACCAAAGCCACAGGGTATTGAGTAATGATTGTGGATATCCTTGACTTTGTACCCAAAACCCATGGGCTGTGGGCCCATGATAAAAGAATCCAAAAACAGGAGGACTCTCAACTCTTTATTCAATCCATTCTCTCAGGCCCCAGGCTGTGATGACTGACATCCCACCTCCCTTTTCCCAAAGGAGGCATTTGGTTGAGGCCACAAAGGCATTACATACATTCGCAACATCATCAATATCACTGGAGAGACCCTGGCTTTGGTTGAAAAACAAGGCACAAACTTGGGCAGTGCCCACACTAACACAGACTCTGGACCAGGGACACCCTCCTCAGAGGAGGCACTTTTGCTGCACTGAGAGACAACATTCACTGATCCCAGGTTGCACGAGGGATCAGAGGGCACTCTAGAAGGAAGCTACTCTTTAGACGCTACTCCTGAGTACCCTTGGCTCTGTAGGACTGTCCTGAGATCAAATATACCACTTTTTCCCATAGATGAGGGTCCTTCATCTTCAAACATGCTCCTGTTCTGTTTGTATGGTTTCCATGATTATCACAATCAGAGCCATGAATTAGGGAGACTTTTGTCTGCTCCACTTCTGCTGCAACTCTGAAGCAGCTTTCTAGGACAGCCCTGGCCCACCTTTACCCAGTACGTGAAGGACAAAGGGATGCAGAGTCATGCACTGCTGTACCCACTAGTGGACCCAGAAGGTCAGCTCCTTAGTTGTTCTCTGGGCTCATACCCCCAATAGGAGAGAACCCCCATGCACACTCACTCCTCAGGCCCCACAGGCCACGTCACACTCATACGGCATGCCCTTAGTGCTGCCATTCTCCTCTTTCCACCCTTTGGGATGGAGAAGGTCATCCCAGAGGACAGGCATGCAGAGCCTCCTGAATCTTCTGGCGGCAACAAGAGTATTTCTGCAGAATCTGGCGAAGGTGCTCCTCCTCCTCTCGCTGCAAGATGCGGAGGAAGTTGTGAAGTTCAGGCATGCTGAAGGCATCCCACTATAAAAGGAATAACACAGGTTAGAGCGGGCCCCCCCAGAAGAACCCAACATATCATAGTCACACAAGTTAGGCTGGGGTTTTCAGATGTCAGAACAAAAGATGGATGGCTTTTAGAGTGGGGAGTATGCTCACCAGTTACCTGTGGGATAGGTCATATCCAGACTATGGGTCTAATCCCACTCCTAGCTTTGCAGGGCATCCCTTCCAGCTCTGTTCCTCCTTGAAGCCTTATTGTAGCTGCAACCCACCAGCCCTGCCTAGTGACAACCAAGAAACTAAGGAGAGCTGTGTACTCACATTCACCTCTCCAGAGTCGTTCTCCTTTAGGACAAAGCTTAGGGCCTTCTCACTGGGCCCTGCGAGCAGCCGTAGTCGCAGGGGCTGTTCATCATCCAACAGCTTCCTGAGGTACACTACAGGCCAGGTGAGAAAGGAAGAGAGTGAATCAAGAGTCAGACCCTGAACAGGTGCATACATATATACCTACACACAGGAAAGAGTGGGGTGGGAAGCCCACCTTGGCCATGGCGCTCAGCCCGCTCAAAGAGTGCAAACTTGCGAGGGTCATCCACCACCAAGAACTTTCGTAGTAGGGCCTCAATGACCTCATGTGCCCGTGTGCGTGACAGCACATGCAAGTGCTTGACAGCATCCTTAGGCAGATAAAAGGATGTACGGCGTCTCACAGCAGTGCCCCGCCCTGGGCTCCTCCTGGCATCCTGCAAGGAGGGTGGCTTCTTGCTGGAGGGTACTGAGACAGGGCGCACCAGCTTCAACTGAACCTTGATGAAGCCTGTGTAGGAGCCATCCTTGTTCTGGAGAGAGGGAGAGACCAAGAGCATGACTACCCAAGAACCCAGGTGAGATGGGACAGACAGACTCAAATACCATCGATCCACTTGGGGCTAGGCTGGTGGTAGTGGTGGTGGTTGTATGCCATTGACTCATAACAAGACTGTACACGGTTTCTGATACTGTAAATCTTTATAGAAGAAAGCCTCGTTTTCTCCTGTGGAACGCCTGGTGGATTTGAACTGCTGACCTTGCAGTTAATAGTCCACCTTAGAACCCACTATGCCACCAGAGTTCCTTTGGTCTAGGCTGAATGTGAATAAATCACTTATTGGGCTCACTCAATAAAACCTCAGCTGTGACCCTTTAAGCATCAAGCATACAGCTATGTTCCTATTCCCACACCCCAAGGCCCTCAACTCACCAAGCTCATAAAGAGGTTGCTATTGATCTGGCTATTATACTCCTTGATCTTCTGCTCAATCTCAGCCTGAGAAAGGTCAGGTGCCTCCCACTCCACAAGCTCATCCTGAAACAGAGAAAACAGTTAGCATAGACCTGGGGCCCTTGAGGAATACATCTGCTGCAATGCTTGTTACAGCAGGGAAGCTTCTTAAGGTGTTGTCATCTCTCCTCAACTCCATGGAGGTGGCCTTCCCTTTAAAACATCCTTTCTTAGGCAGCCCTTATATACTAACAATAAAGCTCAAGGACCGATGAAAAGAATCCTTGGTCCTTTGGGCCTGATTCCAGAGATGCCTTTGATATCCTGTAGCTGATGTACCTAGTTACTCAGCAGTTGCCCACCCAAACCCTTTACTACTCCTGGTTCTGGAGACAACCACGGTAGAAGCTTTTGATTCCTCTGGGATGCTGGTTTGAGGTCTCAACATTGGGTATGCCCCTGACAACAGCCACCTGCAAGGCCCTCCAAAGACTCCAGCTGAAGGCATGACACCAGGGGCCAAGAAAAGAGGAAGAACTCTGCGGAAAAATCCTTGTTTGAAGTAAAACCACATTTCAACCACAGAGCCTGATTCTAGTAGTACCCTAACTGGGTGGTCAGGATGTATTTGAGAAGGTAGCCCATTTTTTCTGCCTAGACAGAGTGCCTTGACCCTGATGTAGGATAGGGGTGCAGGGACCAGTGCATACCATGTGCTCAGACACCAGTGGGCAGGCAATCTATACAATGTAAACATCTCTGTGGAACTTTGGTCTCAGAGACCAACTATTAAACACAAAAGGCAGCTTCAGGTCAGGCGCCAATCGGCCACAGGTTTGCAGGCAGCCTCCTGGTGGAACCTGTCACAGAAGTGGGCTGATGTGCCTGTCCCTGAATCCCTGCTGTCTAGAAGTTTTGCCCCACCACTTGGTCCCCTTGTCTGCCAGGGACTGGATGATTTAAAAAAAAAAAATTGTACTTTTTTTGTTTTGTTTTAAGAATTTATACAGCAAGACATACCAGTCCAAGAGTTTCTACATGTACAATTCAGAGACATCGATTGATTACATTCTTCAAATTGTGCAACCATTCACACCCTCCTTTTCTGAGTCATTCCTCCCACATTAACAAACTCACTGTCCCAAGTTTCCTCACTAATCTTGAGCTGCTGATGTTAACTTGAACCTATATAGATAGTTCTTTAGAGAGACGATCCTGAAGGCAAACATTCTTTACTAGTTAAGCTAAACTACTGTTTAGTTTTAAGAACATGTCAGGGGATATTTCTGGTTTATGAGGGACTGGTTTCTTGCCAGAAGGGTGGAGTGTGGGCCGGTGCCTGGGCTCTAAATTATCTTCTACCAAATTCCCTTGGCTCTATTGCATCACTCTTACTTCCTGTTGGAGTCAGTTAGGCTCTAGCTGCAATGCGTCTGTCACAAACACAACTGAGATTACCACTGTTCAATGTCTTCCTATCAAAGGTTCTTTTTGTGCCCAGCTCTGAATCCCCTAAACTGCATGAATTATCTGGTGAGACAGAATGAGGACAGAATGGAGGGCAGGTGGTATCCACGGCCTTTTAGCAGTATGCTCTTCTTCAAGAACATGGTACTGTTTAGCACCACCAAAGATGGCACAAGACAGTGAGAACGGCAGTTGCAGACCAGGGGACTGGCATGAGATAGTGCAGCTGGCTTCCTAGTCCATGGAACAAGGTGATTACAGTGGACTTCCTGACCGATAGAACAAGCAATCTGAGCACCTTCTGAATGAAGCTTACCGGCAGAGTGGGATGCCCATGGCCACTTACTGGTGGCGCTAAAGAGTTTTGTAACACTTGTCTGAGCAAGGGCCAGAGAGACACCAGTATGTTGGCACAGCTTAGAGGTGGTTCCAATTGAATAACTTTGAGTTCTTCCTGATCTTAAATTATAAAACCTGCTACATTTTCCCTTTGCGTATTATCTGTGAATTCAGTGTGGCCACTGCAACAAATTTCTGAACACCCCTGAGTGAGTAGAGGAGTGTCAGAAATGGTAAAGTTTGAACGGTAGAGGTTATGTTTGACCTCCACTTCATAGCAGATAGCCTTGGATTGTCCATACCTACAGTGATTCTCCCTCCCTTGAGAAGTTAGACCAGGAGTCTGACACTCCTGTCAAGTCATTTTCACATTTTAAGGGGGTAATAACCTCCCTCAGTATCTTCACAGTAAAACAAGGGGCTTGACTGGAGGTACAGCACTGCCCTGTCAGAGAATTCCAAGAGCTGACCTAGAGGGATGCACAACAGAAAGGTACTTTCAGTTCCTTGCACTGTAGTAGCCTACCTTCTCCTTTGCCACCCTCCAAAGTGACAGCTGCTTGTATTTTAAATACCACTTTGATACTTCTTGGCCTCGTTTCCAATGAATGCATTATAGTTTTCCTGCTTTTACACATGGAAAATGGCTCAGGGATGAGTGACATAGGGATAGTTCCAGGGTCTATACTCAAGCCTCACATATAAACTCTGGGCTGAGTTTTCAGGCTGCTGAGTAGCTCTCCTTTGATAAGGAATTCTGCAAAATTCCACCTAAAATATCATATAAAACACTTTTCTCTTGGCACAGCAGTCATGTGCTCAGCTACTAACCCAAAAGTTAACAGTTCAAAGCCATCCAGAAGTTTTGTAGGAGAAAGACCTGAAATTTCTTCTGTAAAGATTGTTGTTGTTAAATGTCATCAAATCGGTTCTTACTCATAGTGAGTGTATACGGTTTCGAGGAGCAGCTGGTGGATTTAAACTGCCGACCTTGTGATTCATAGTCCACTGCTGATCCTACAGCGCCACACCAGGAGTCCATGAAAACTCCAATTCACAGTTCGACTCCATTACATAAGGAGGTCTCATAGTGCAGCAGTTGCGAATCGGGCTGCTAGCTTCAAGGTCTGCAGATCAAAGCTACCAGTTGTTCCGCGGGGGAAAGATGAGGCGTTCTGCTCCCGTAAAGATTTGCAGCCTCGGAAACCCTGTGCAGGGGTCACTATGAGTCAGAACTGATTCCACAGTACTTAACAACAACTCCATTACATAGGATCGCGTGATGGGGCCCACTAACAACAACAAAGAGACTTTCAGAAGCTCAGCTGCCCTGGTACCAATTTAAAAACCTATAAGAAGCTTCACATTTTACAATCTTGGATTAGTAATCCTGTTCACTCTCAAACCTTCTCTCGTGGCATTTTATAATGTGGCTTTACCCGTCTCTTGTGAGTAACGAGGGTAAAGTTCTTTAATGTTTTTGGTCAAAAACAAGGCTTCCTTAAAATATAAAACAACATAGGCAGACCGAATGTTACTACAAGAACAAGCAACATGCTTGCCCAGGAAACATCAAGGCAAGTGGTCGGGTCCCCTCAGTGCAAACCCCCTTCCAAGACTAAGACTCAATGGGAATACACGCTGTGATTGGTGACCACGCTCGACACTGATAAGAGGAAGTGGGGGAAAAACAGCATTTAAGCGGTGAGCTAAGGCCTACAACGTTCAATAGACTTCTGTGAACCCGGGTGAAGACCTAGTTGGCCAGCAGTGTGGCAAGACCTAGGGACTCTTGTGCCCAGAGTCAGTGACATAGCCACAGAGGACTAGAGTGGAGAGTGAAGTGTCCAGCTGATAATAAGAGAGGGCATATACATAAAAACACCCACACTTGCAGATAATACCCACTTTCCTGGCTTCAATGACTGGATGATCAGAGCTCAACCAGAAGTAAAAAGAAGAGGAAAAAAAAAAAAAGTATTCTCATACAATTTGATGAACTTGACCTACACCTATGGAAGCAGAAGCTCAAAAGAGGGAACAAGTCTTTACAGAAAGAATCATTCCCACACCCTCCACACACAGAGTAGACAGGGATGGGCAACTTGGACATTGGCTACCCAAAATGGGGTGTGGGGGACTACAAAGGCAAGAAGTGACTGGCTTACAAGCTTTCAAGAGGGAACCTAAGATCCAGAGGGCCTGGAGGAAGGTAGAATCTCCAGTGTGTAGTATTCAATCTGACTAGCTGGGGCTGATGCAATGAAATGCAGACGGGTCTCTTGTGATACAATAGTGAATAATTGTTATCAGGACTGTGAGGGTCGGAAATGTAAAGGTAGAAGTTTTATAGCAAGGAGGGGAGTGATTAACTTTTCAGTCTAGGAGAGAAGGTCCCTAGGACCATCAAGGGAGAAGAGCAGAGAGCGGGACCCTACCCAGAGAAGCAGTGATGCCTGAAATGGAGAGCCAGAGATGATGATGTAGAGGGATGGAGCAGCTGGAGACTTTAGATCCAGAAATACAATATACGATAGAATGAATGTAAAACCAATGTTCTCCCATGTAAACTATCACATAATTCACAATAAAACATTAAAAAAAACCCCAAGGCTTCCTTCTATCTATTCCCAAACCCCCTTTTCTCCAGGTCCACAGCAGAAGATTAGTCAGACCAGGACCGATAAGAGGTGGGTTGGCCCAGCAAAAAGTGTGGGCTCTCTGGCTCCATCTGGGAACGCTAACGAAAGAACCTGACCTTCCACGCCTCTCCTTCTTTCTCCACACACTTTTAGATTCCCGGCGAGGACTCCTCCCCTCCGCTTCCTCCGCCTGGCCCCAAGGGAGGGGGTGGCAACGCCCAAAAGAGAGAATGGAGGTGCTGGTCCAGACTACGCAGTCGGCCCCATTACTCATGGATGAATAATGCCATTCCTGGTCTTCCCCAAGCCACAAAGCTGCTTCCTCCGGCTCAACCGGTTTCGTGACTGACCCAGCACGGAGACCTTGGTGTCCGGTACGGAGGCGCTGGAATCGGAGTTTCACCAAGAAATGTAAATCCGCCACTTGGGAGTGGGTAGTCCCCGGGCCAGGAGGGGAAATCTAGCTGAGAGGGTGTAGATGCTCACTAACTTTCGACACAGTACCATACTGGGGAGGAGGCGCCCCCCGCCCCCCGCCGGCAGCTCCCGGCCCCCACCTGGTCCCGTCGCGGCCTGCGCGCCAGCGATGTGCGCGCCGTGAAGTACTGCTCGAGCTCCGAGTCTGAATCCTCCTGGCTGCAGTAGCCGCTACTTGTCGTGCTGTTCCAAGTCATCTCGAAAGAAGGCGTCTCGGCATCCGTTTCGCCCATTGCCGCTCCCTCCCTCCCGCCTGCCCGGTCCCGGGTCGGGTACGCCAAAGTTGCCAACTGCCGACCTGAGCGGGTGCGCCTGCGCGCGTGTGCCCGTACGCCAAGTTCCCCCCGGCTTTAGCGCCGCAACGGTAAAGATTGAAACGTAGACAGCCCGGATCCAGCTCTTGTCTCATTGGGGCGAGGAACTTCGAGGGGCGGGGCCACAAACCCTTACTTCCAGGAATGACCTCATCGCTCAGATAGCACAGCTTCCCTCCTCGAGTACTTTGCCCACTTCCCGTAGGGAACGTGCCAACGAGTGTGCGCATGTGCACCTGCGTGGCTGCTGGACCGGATGCGGTTGAGGAAAGGCGCGGACGACGCGCGTGCGCAGATCATAGGCTGTGAGGCGTGGGCTGTGCCCAGTTTCCGGCTTGAGATCCGCCGGGAGACTACACACAAAATTAACTGTTCTCTACCTTAGTGAAATCGGCTATTACAACGCTCATTAAACGCCTCGCCAGGGCAGCAATTGAGATCACCTCTGCCGTAGCCCGTCCGTTCGATTATGTCCCGCCCGCACGCCCCCGGCCCCTCGCCGCTCTCACCACGTTCGTGTCCCGCTCCAGTGCCGGCTCCCAGCCTAGGTCTCGAGGTCCGCAGCAATCCAGACAGACGAGTGCGCGGCATCGGTAGTGGCAGGTGAACTTGCAGTCTGCGGAAAGGTCGTGCCGTAAGGCGCGGATCCCCAGATCTGGATCACGGAAGCTTCCCAGGAGATGGAAGAGAAGCCCGGGGTGGAGGCCTGTGCTTTCCGGGCCCGTCAAGACCGTTGTTGTCAGTTGCCTTTATCTGCTCAGTTAACACAGACTTTTGCTCATCCCTGGTTGTCTGAAACCCGGTTGGAAGGCCTCTCTGCTGGTTAGGAAACTAGAGTCTAGTGTAGTTTCCTCATTTGCAGATTGTTAGTTCCCTCCCTTTCATTTACTTAACAGAAATCTTTAGCCCACGATATTCCTCTAGTTGTCACCTGTCTTCTCCCTTTACACCAAAGTTTATCAACACTGGTCTGCATATACGCAATTCCTTGCCTTCCACTCACTCCACTCAGGTTTACCCCTTCGTGAAACTACCCCGGGTTAGGGTCTTTAGTAACCTTCATGCTGCCAAATTGAGCGGTTTATTCTCTACCCGACCTTAGCATCATTTTAAACTTGTTCCTCTTAACCTCCCAGGTGCTTAAAACTCTTCCAGTTTCCTTCCACCTTCATGCAGTTTCTGTTCACTTCCTTTGCTGATTCCATTTTAACTATCCCATCTGTTAATGGTAGTGTTTGGGGCTAAGTCTTGATGGCTGTTTTCTGTCTACGCTCACCTACCCGTATCTGTTTGCTTTGTCTCCCAGACCCAAAACTCCAGCGTTAACCTCTACGGTCAGATATAATTCTATGTATGTTCGCTTGAATGCCTAACAGGCATTTCAAATAAAAAAATGTCAAATTTTAATTTTTCTTCCACCTCATCCCTATACTACCAGAGTTCCTCAGCTCAAAAAAATTCAGCATTCCCCCGGTTGTTTGAGGCAAAATCTCAACTCATTTATTCCTATTTTGTCCCCTGAAACACAACCAAATTGTTCCATTTCTCATCTCCATGACCACTTTATTTTTCCTTTGAGAATATTACAGCGTCTCCACCACTTGTTCATGCATTGTGGACCATCAAAACTATGCTTCTCCTAGCTGAACATGAGATAGACTTCAAAACTGGATGAGAGGGTCGCCAGACACGGAATCTGGACACTTTCCTTGTTTCTAAATGGGTTATTGATTCTCAACACAGGTTGCCATTTGAATGAGTTGGAGAGTTCTAAAAAATTACTGATGTCTAGCCCCTGCTGGGCCCCCAGCGGCTCTGAGGTGAGGTCCAGGCATAGGGCTGTAAAATCACCACAGGTGATTACTGCAGTCTGTGGAAAAGCAACCTTGGCAGGCCTCTGATTGCGGGGAGGGGTGTTGTGTGTGTCAGAGGCAACTGGAATGTGGCAGGCATCCTTATTTTAGTACCTGGCTCAGAGAGTTGGGAAGCAGGTGTTTACTGAATACTCAGCAAAATCTATGCTTGCAGGGGGCCCACCCAAGAGTCTCAATTTTCTCCAGGCCCCCTCCCATAGGACAGTGAGATCACTGCGTCTTAGGGATTCTGAAGGGAACTATAATGAGTGAATCTTTGGGAAGGGGCAGGCCTGAGGGCCCAGAGACCAGTGGGCTTACAGCCTTTTCCAAGAAGGACCAAGACACTTTAAAGAGAAGAAGTTTGAAATCAGGACCTTGTTAGTCACAGCAATTGCCTTCACTAATTTCCGCAATGGGCCAAAAGTAACAGATCTGGTCCTTTGGGGCCATCCCCACAGCCCCCCTCCGCTGCAGCTTGCCCCGCAGCGGTGGCACTGCCCCAAGACCGTGCATTCTGTTTTTGCCCGCGTGCGAGGCCACTACTCACGCGCGCACTGCAGGCCTTTGCGCACGACGCCCCAGATGAAGTCGCCGCAGAGGTCGCACCACGTGTGTGTGGTGGGCCCGGCAGGCTGGAAGCGGTGGCCACGGCCGGGGGCCAGCTGCTTTGCGGGGTTGCGCGTGGTGCCTGGCGCTATGCGCAGCGCATTGGTTCTTTCTAGGCGGGCGCGGCTCGGGCCCGCGCGCTGTATGGGTGCCAGTTCCCGCAGCTCTATAAGCTCAGGCTCCGTGGACATGGCTCGACTCAGTCAGGACTTCGGCCGGCTCTCAGAGGCGAGCAGGCAGCGTTAGGCTCGAGTGCAGGGCGGGACTTGCAGAACCGCCTTTAGGACCCAAGCTGGGCCGTGGGAGAGAGTCGAGGGGAGTGGCGCAATGGAAACTTGGGCGCGGGGCTGTGTCTGCCCGCAGGCGGAGCCAAGGGTGACGCGGTAGGGGGAACTCTTGCAGAATCCCCGCCTTGTCTTCCCTTCCCTCCCTCAGTCCCCGCAAGCACCACCCCCTCCGCCTACAAAGCCGGCAGTGATGGGGCGCTCTGAGAAAGGCGTTTTTCTGAAGGCCTGCTTTACTGTGTAGAGGAAGAGGGTAAGAGGGTCTCCACATCCGGTCCTCGCCCCACGCCAGGGCTCCAGCCTCAGCTTGCTAAAGCAACACCATAGGCCTACTCTCCAGGAGGTTGGGGCAGGAAGTGGGGAGCACTTCGCTGAGGGGAAAGTGTCACCAACTATGTTCTGCCACCTGAGCCCCACCAGGGTCTGGGAAGAGGTGTATGGAGATTCTAGGAGGCCGCCCCAATGGGATTCCTTGGCAGGATTAGTCAGCTTTCTGCAGCGGTAGCTCTCACTTGGCTTTGTCACCCTGGGCTGTCAGGACACATGCCTTTCCATGTTTCTCCCAGTGCTTGACTTGGCACTCCCTGTGAGTAGGTAGGCTTATTGAGGAAAACAGTACTTGTGGGGGGTGGGGCTCAGGGTCCCAGGATCTTAGGGTTCTCTCACCTGCAACAATACCATTCATTCTGGCACCGGGAACAGCGCTTGGAGGCCTCGGCATTGCAATAGGCACAGTGAGGCCGCTCTGGAGCCACTGCCTCTAGTACATCCAGCCTATAGGTCTCAGCCCACCTGGGGAAGAGATTGGGAGGCCTGAATGGATCTGGCCAGTAGGAGCTAGCTCCCTGACAACTTCTGTATCTCCAGCATCTCTTCCATGCATGATGGCAGCTCAGCAGACCTCACCTCCGTGCCTGCATTCGAAGGTCCTGCTCTGAGGGGCTGAACACGTGTCGCAGCTGATGCTTGGCAATAGCCTGCCATTTGCCTCTGTTCTCTTGCTCCAGCCGCTCCCAGATTTCGGGGATCTGCAGGGGACGGGGGATATAAATGGAAAGGAGACAGGGAAGAGCTGGCAAAATGGGCAGTGGTCCCGAGTAACTAACTTCCCAGTGCCTACCTGTTCCAACACCAGGTCCTTCTTTGGGGTCTGAGTTTCAGCTAAGGCCAGATGGGCTAGGAAATTCTGCAGGTCTGTCAGGCTGGGCAACTGATCAAGCAATGTGTCTGTGAGGAAGGCCCGAAGCTGCAGAAGTGTCCAGGGAAAACCAGTGTAAGATGAGCTGGCCACAGGACTGGGCCGGGCTGAAGGTGCCTGTGCAGCCTAGTGCTAGGCTGTGGTTATTGGTGTGGGGAAACCTGGGGCCACTCCTCACCTTGAGCAGCTGACCCTTGGCAAAACTTGTGAGGCAGTAGCGTGCTCGGGCCTCAGGGCTTAGCAACAGGTTGTACAGGGCAATCCACACCTGCCCATCCAGCTTGCTTAGCTTTTGCTGTTCTGAGGGGGCCACAGTCTGCCAACGGCCACCCTCAAATCTCTGTAGCTTGCCTGTGAAGAGGGACCAGCAGACTGGGTTCAACTATAGCATGCTCTTTGAGTAAGCATGCTATGTGGGCTGGGGTAACTGACCACTGCCCATGGATGGTGAAGAGAGCCTGGGACGCAGGACTTGCCCAGGCTGGGTGCTGCTGGCTCCAGAGCAGGCTGAGATCTCAGTAGTAGACACATGGGTCTTGCTTGCTGTAGATCCCAGGTCCAGGGCCACCCTGGGTGTGGCATCCTGGTATCCTCTGTGGGCTGGAGGGCAGGGTTTGTCTGCCTATATATAAGCTACTGATATCACCATTCCTAAAGAATGCCCTGGAAGCAGTGGGGTGGGGTTTAGGCAGGTTAGGGAGGCCCTTACCTCCTTCCCGCCGGCTCCAGACACTGTGCTCCAAAAGTTCCACCAGGAGGCAAGGCAAATTGTGGGTGCTGAGCATGCGACTCAAAGTGCTTAGGGAAAGACTAGAGGCAGGAAGTGGAGAGAGTTGAGCAAAGGTTACAGGCCCAGGCTCCTTGCTCTCCACTGTGGGCTCCAGGCCCAGTAAGGCTGCCTACCTGTCCACACAGTCTGTGATGTAGCGCAGTACTGAGAGGGCCTTCAGTGCAATCTCAAATTCCATTAGCTCTGCCTGCTTCTGCAGCTCCTGGGAGACCATGTGGTGCTCAGGATGGGCCATTCCCTGTCTGCCCAGACTTTCAGGGAGCTCAGGCTCAACCCTTGCCAGCCCCAAGGAACCTCAGCCCACCTGCATGGGGGTGCTGTCCTGGGGCCATTCCTCCTCAGGGTGGCCATTACGGCTACTCCGGGCCACCAGCAGAGTCAGTTTGCGGTGACAGTAGTCCACCAAATCCAAGATGGTATCCTCTGCTGACTCACACACCTCCTGGAGGGCAGGGAGAGAGGATGCTTTCTGTCTCTGACGCCCTTCCCATTAAGAGACAGTTCACTTCCTGCCACTCCATTTGCCTCACCTTGTGGAAGAACACAGTCTCCAGGAGGTTAATGACCGAAGCCTCGTGGTGCACCTGCCACTCAAAGGTGAGAATAGGGTAGAGGCTGCAAGTGAGAGTTAGGAACTACCAGCTATCTTCCCCAGTCCAGGAACTTCGGAAGGGAAGGGAGGGGGTGTAAACTGTGGGCCTAGCTCACCACCATATATATAGGGAAGGTGTTTGGGGGCTTGAAGTCTTCTAGCCTGCAAAGCACGGGGAACACCTTCTGCTTCCACATCTCCACTGCGATCAGCTCCTCCACCAGTGTTGGGATCTTCAAGGGGTGGGGAGAAGGACAAGGATGAGGTGGACCTGCCTTGGCTTAGCAACCTCCCCATCCCTGGCTTGGCACAGTCTAATTCTTCTCAAATTGAATACCTTTTCTGACCTTTCTCTTGAGCCTTAGACCTGCATCTCCATGTGCTCTTCCTATCTGTGGAGACATCTCCTATGCTGCCTCTGACTGACTTGTGTACTGCCCTCAGTCTGCTGGTAGTCACCTTGCTCCCCATCCCTCTATGTCCAACTTGTTGTCTCTACCCAGGTCTCCTTCTTGGATGCTCTTGAGTGTCTTGACTTCACCATTAGTCAGGGCCCTTCACAGTATCCTTTCCTTCTCCCTTCAATAGTGGGTTCCAACTTTTCCTTGTTGGAGAACCTTTTTAAAGTGATATATTAGGTAACCTAATGAGACTATCCCATGGCCCATATTCCAGCTAGGTGGATCCCTAGAGCCTAACTCCTCTATGCCCCTATTGGGAATGCTGTCTTCCTGTGTGCCAAAATTCCACCTCCACGTCAATACCTTTAGCATTGAGCCTTAGGTTGTTCTAGGATCTATGATTGTCAACTTCATCACTCCATACCCTGGGCTGGAGATCCTATCTAATAGTAGTGCAGGATGAAGGTATAGTAACACATCTCCCTTTCCCCATTGGGAAAAACCAGTACACCAGAGGGGACAGCAGGTACCCAGCATGCTCCTTAGGATACAGAGGTCAATTTAGCAAAGGAAGACGGTAGCAACACTGCCAGTGACCTCAGCATACCTTCCTGTGGGTGACCAGAAGCTCCTGGATGGGCTCACCCTGGCTGGCCGTGGCATCCAGTATAGCCTGCATGTTCAGCTTCTCCAGGTTCTCATGCTGCTGGTTCCACCTACCCCAGAGGAGGTGTACTTGCATTTGAGTGCACTAGTATACAGTCAGAGTAGGGGTGGACTCTAGGTCCTTTTGAAGCCTAATTGGATCCCCAGAGGCCAGAAGGGTTCATTATATACCTTTATCACGGAGAGCTTTCTCGCCTCACCCTGGAGCCCCTCCAACCTGGGTAACCCCTACCCCCCTATGCCAGGTCCAAAGCTTCCCAACAAGAGACCCTGACCCCAGGACTCTTCCTGAGCCGTGATCTGGCTGCCTCACCCTCCGGAGCCCATCTCGCGCACTGGGAAGTTGCGCAGACCCCGAACCAGTACTTCAGCCTGTCCAGGCAGCAGCAGCTCCAGGTCGCCCATGTTAGGGTTCTGCGACAGAAAACTAAAAGGTAGGGTCTGGCTGCCTTGAGACTGAAGCCAGCACTGGGGGGATCAGTTTGGAGACTACAGGCTGCGGTAGTGCTGAAGTCCAGGACAGGACAGTTGCTGAGCGGTTGGGATCCCTGTGTTCTCGTTGCCACGGAAACGGCTTTGCTTGGCGCCTGCGCAATGTGATCTAAGTCCCGCCTCCTGTCGGTGTCTGCCACAGATCATGACACGCCCACCCAAGGCTTGCTGGTTAAGGATCCCACTTGGACTTCCTGAGCGTTCTCCCTCACAACGGGGTTCAGCTCAGGGTTCTCTCCTGAGCTCCAGACTCCTTGTGTAAAACCGCATCTCAACTGTAGCTGCTGTTTCCTTGATCTCTCTCCTCGGATATCCAGTAGGCCCGCACAGGGATGGGGGCAGTCCTGACCCCCATCTGCTCCACCTATAGGTGCCCCGTCTCAGTCCATCTGGTGGCTCCTCTTCATGACTTCCTCGCTCCGTACTTCACGTACCGACCTCCACTGTTGGCTCTATCTCTGAAATACTACCCAGGGCCCACAGCTTCTCATCCTCGTCCAGGCTGTTATCACTTCTCATGGGATAAATGCAGTGGTCTTTTCACGGGACTCACTTCCACTGTTGACCCTCAAGAACAGCCAGGAGTCTTTAAAGGTGTGCATCAGACAGCACCCCCTTGCAAGAAACCTCAGATTTTCTGATTGCCTCTGGACCTTAGAATACTAAGTACAAAGTGGTTTACCTGCAGTTCTGCAGGGTCCTGGCTCTTTTCTCCTCTTTTACCTTGGGACTTTGTTGCCTTTTTCATCCTTGCCTATGTACCAGCCACATGGGCCATCCTTGGCTTCCTCAACATCCCAAAGTACTCTGTATCAGAGCTTTAGTAACTTGATACCTCTCTGCTTGGAACGCTTCCTTCCTGCTCACCTGTCACCTCCTCAGAGAAGCCTTCTTTGTGCATCTAATCCAGAGTAGCCCTTACTTCTGTCTCAATTCTCCATCACAGCTCTGATTGTTTCTATTTGTTATAATTAACGGAATGGAGTCCTGGTGGTGCAGTGGTTAAGGGCTCAGCTGGTAAACAAAAGGTCGGCGGGTCAAACCTACTTGTGGTTTCACAGGATAAAGATGTGGTAGTCTGCCTCTATAAAGATTTTAAAGCCTTGGAAACTGGAGCAGTTCTACTCTGTCCTATAGGTCACTGAGTCCGAAACCAAACAGCCATGAATTTAGTTTTTCTTGGATTTTACTTGTCTATTGATGTAGTGGTTATAAGTCAGGCTGCTAACCTTAAAGTCAGCAGTTCGAAACTACCAGCCGTTCCGTGGGAGAATGATGAGGCTTTCTGCTCCTGTAAAGATTTACAGCCTTGGAAACCCGATACAGGTCGAAGCCCTGGAGTGGAAGACTTGGAAGAAGCATAGTGAGCCCTTTCAGGAACTTAATCAAAGACCGAATTATTGCCAGGACTGTGGATAGTGATACATATTCAAAGTGTCCCAGTTGGCCACCATTTTTGAGCAGGACACTGTTGCTTCCAACTTTGTGAATCAAGAGATTTGATTGCAATGGCACACTGTCCTTGTTTTTTGAGAGGAAGATTAAGTTTCTGGCAGGGCATCAATCTTTAATTTTTCCTGTTCTGGTTATCATTCCGGTATACCCACATTTTATAAATTTGGGTCTATTCTGGCTTTGCTTCGTTGGTCATGACTGAACTGGCAAGAACAGATTCAAAGCTCTATGTGAATAGCACAGAAGTTATACTCAATAAACATAGGTTTGAATGAATGAATTTATTTATAGAGCTAAGAGTTAACTTGGAGTGCTGTTGCGACACTGTAGAATAAGCACTGAACTGCTAACCACAAGGTCAGTGGTTCAAACTCTCCAGTAGATCCTTGGAAACCCTATGCAGGATCACTATGAGTTGGCACCAACTCAATGACACTAACAACGAGTTTACTTTGAACCAGTCTGGCAATGGCATCAGGCAGGGCTTAGCAGTAGGGTGTGGCCACAGCAGTATGCTCTGTCCAGCTGCTCCAGGACTCACTTCCAGCAGATGATAATGTTGGGGTCGTTTTCCAGCCTCTCATCCAGCTCATGGTAGCTCATGCCTGGGTAGAATGGTGGTGAAGTTAGATAGCCTAGCCAGGCCACCCTACCCTGACTCTACCCTGACTAGCCTGTCTGCCTCCACCTGTCTTGCAGCAAATCTCATCATAGCTGTGGCAGCCTGTGTAAAGCTGGGCAGAGTGGCTCCGCTCCTCCCGAGACACCCGTACAGGGTACTTCTGTAGCCGCCGTATGAGGTTCCTCATAAGTCCAAACTGGATCAGCTTCCTGAGCGGGGGGGCAGGAATGTGGGGGGTGTGGAGAGGGGTGATGTTACTACTACCTGACCAATCCAGCCAGGCCAATCCTTTTCTGTCATCTTCCTTCCAATTTTGTCTCAATGGCCAGATTGGCCTCCAAGCCCATGACCTCACGGAATCCTTGCCTGGACTGGCAGTGCCACAATATTCTATTCACTGGGAATCCCCTCTCTTCCCTCTGACCTAGGGCTTCTCAGAGACGTACAGGGTTTCTCTGCCCTAAGGCAGAGCAAACCCGTCTTGCTCTAGGGGATACCCCTCTGACCGTTCATCGACGCGCTGCAGCTGCTGGGGGTGACGGCCAATGAGGTCTCGGACAGTAGTGCCAGGGCTCAGGCTGCAGTATAGCTGGAAGACATCCCGGAGACTGGCCCTCTTGTGCCCTGTGGATACCAAGGGTCAGTTCACCAGCCCTTTCCAGAATAGCCTCCCCCAACTCACCATCTTCTGGCTACTACCTTGCTTGGTCACATACGACAAACACGCCTCCTGCAGAGACTTGTCGTCTACCAGGTCCTGTACCTTGGGCGTTGGGCAGTACACATTGGAGTACTGAAGAGTAATAGGAGGAGGCACAGTGGTCTGAGTGAGGGACTTGGGAGGCCTGACACAGCCCCGGCCTGGCCCAGCCACATTCCACTTAACCAGACCCATCTACCTGGAGGATGGACACCAGTGTCACAACGCCATAGTACCTAGGACAGACAGCTGTGCTCAGCTTCTGAGAGCCATACTTTCCCAGCCCTCACATCCACGCCCCCTGGGCTTTGCCCTGGCTGACAACCCTGTCCTGGGCATGACCATAACATTACTCACAGCAGGTTCTGGATGGCAATTCGCACCAAGTTGAGCTCCACATCTGCTTCAGCTGAAATCTTTTGGACATGACGGAAACCATCAATGTAGGGCAAGATCTAGATAAAACAGGGCCAGGTCAGTGGGGATGGGATGGGGTCAGGGCTATGGCCAGCCACAAATAATGATATCCAGGGAGGCTAGCACACCTGTTGTGTGGTGAGGTCCCACTGTGAATTTAAGAAATCCTCCTTGTCCTTTGTAAAGACAGGAACATCATACTCCTGGGCCACAGGAGGGTCTGGACGCTGCTCAATCACCTTCAAGTGGATGGTATTGGACTCATCTGCAAGTGGTCCCACCCACATTCTCAGTGTCATTTCTTCCAAGAGGCCTTTCAAAACTATCCAGGTTTCCCATTCTTTGAGGCAAGCAGGTGGACCTAAGCAGGGCTAATCTTCCCCTTTTATAGAGTGAGAGACTGAGGTCCAGCAAAGGGGAGGGATTATACCAAGAGGGCAGAGCTGGAGGATTCTGCTAGGCCCCCTGTCTCTCACCAGTCTATTAAACATTATCCCCGAACATCATTAGCTTGTTGTTGTTATTAACTGCCATCGAATTGGTTCCAGATCATAGCAACTCTATGCAGGGTTTCCAAAGAGCAGCTGATGGGTTTGAACTGCCGACCTTGTGGTTCGCAGTCAAATGCTGATCCTACAGTGCCACACCAGGAGTCCATCATTAGCCTAGACTATAGTTATCTCCTGGTCACCAGTTTTTCTCAAGTCTTATCCTTTTTTCCCACAAGTGGCCTCACTTCACATATCATTCTGCCATCCCTCCTCTAGCCTTATAATGCTCTCCTTGCAGAGGCTGGGACATACCAATGGGCAGAGTGCACCGGCCACAGGCATTTAACTCCTCCAGCAAGATGGTCATGATGGGCACCAGCTTCTGCTTGCTCTCCTCCGTAGATACGAAGCTGCTCTCTAGCTGGATAGAGCATGGACATGGTGGGCATACCCAAGACCACTGGTTGTCTGCTTGCCCTGTCTGGGTCCAGAGCTGGCTGGCAGTCCCAAGTCTGGGACTCTTTGGAGACATAGGAACACCTGCCCCAGCCCTGCCTGCCCATCCACCCTGGTCCTGTCTGCCCATCCATCTAAGCAGACCTCTAGTGTGGTCAGGTAGCCAGCCAGTTTTTTGACGATGGGCTCGAGGGCACAGGTCTTGGCCTGGGCGTCACACACGAAACCCAGGTTGAAGAGGAGGGCATTGCGGCTGTACTTCTTGTGCTCGATGCAGACGGGGCAGCCGATTAGCTTCTTCTCCATGGCTGTCCTGGATGGAGGAACAGGTGGAAACAGAGTCAGGCTCTCCCCCAATCCCATTCCCTTTTCCTAGGGGTCCCCCAGCTGGGGCCTCACACAGTGATTAGCTTGTTCTGAAGCTCTGGCTTGGTGATGATGTACACCTGGACTGTGTCAAACAACTCCCGGGAGATGAAGTCCTCTGGCACCTGGGGAGGGAAGACAGGAGGTTCTTCATTGGACCTCGAGACCAGTGGGAGTACACATGGCCTCTTCCTGGAGTTTGTATATGCTGTCTCCTCTACCTGAGACATCCCCTACCCCTTTCCTATCTCCGATGCATTATTTGGAGTCCTGGTGTGGCAGTGTGGGATAAAATACTGGATCCCAAAGTCGGTTTGAACCACAAGGTCAGCGGTTCAAACTTACCAGTTACTCCTTAGAAACCCTATACAGGGTCATTATGAGTTGGAACGGACTTGACAGCACTTAACAACAACATGCATCATTTAGGTCTCAGCTAATAACTCAGTTATACTCACAGATCATTCAGCTATCCGTCTTGAAGCCTGGTACCTCCCACGGTCTCCACAGCCCTATTTCCCACAATCACTGCCTGCGTAAAGTATGTCTCCTCTGACACACAGGAGCTAGCATCCCGTGTCTGAGTATTTTCTTGGTTCACGGGTTCTCTTGAGAATGAGTGATGTGCCCGCATGCATCTTGGGTATCTGCAGTCTCCCGGCAACTGGCTGAGTTCTCGAGGGCGCCCCTCTCCCGGCCTAGCCCCACGAGCCCGAGTGGCACCTGGTACGTGATCTTGGGTCCTAGCGTAGGGTGGAACTCGCTGAAGAATATGCATTCGATGCGACAGCCGCTGCCCATGACGCTAGCAGGGCCCAAGGACGTAACTTCTAATCCCTCGAGCGCGGAGACGCTTCAACCTCTGGCAACACCTGTTAGACACAGCCCGGAGGACTGAGCAGCCGGATCCCACGCGCCTGCGAACTCACAACCGTGAAGCCATCAGCTCAGCGACGCTTGCGCAGCGCGACTCAGGGGCGTGGCTGGGGTGGGGGCGGTGTGCTCGCCCCAGGAAGTCCCGGGTAGGTGGAAGTCGCACCCGGAAGTGAAGCGACCCGGGGACTGAGCTGTAACGCGCGCTGCAGGGCCCGACGGATTCCGCTTTCTCGGGAGGAAATCACAGCGTCGGATCGGCGCTGCAGGTGAGGCAGGCGAATCCCTAGCATGGAGGAGCAACATGCCAGTGGCACGTGGGGAGACTGCATGAAGGGATTCACGCTGGAATTGTGGGCTGCCTCTGGCAACTACAACTCCCGTAGTGCTCCACGCCTTCCTCGTTGGCGCTCCCTCCCAGAATGGTGTGATGCACGCTGGGATTGTAGTCTTAGTCTTAACACCCCTTGGCATTCTACCTGGAAGGTGGTCTAGCGATTAGTGCAGCTCAGGTGTGGGTGCAAGCTGACAGGACCCAGCCCTCAAATGGCACGTTGTGATGAATGTTGGTGCCTGCCTTAGCACTGTGCCTTCCTACCATTCCTTTCTGGCCGAGGATATCCATTCCTGCCCAGCTAGCCTTACCCACAGTGAGGACAGTGGGCACCTGACTTTTGCTCATTCTCTGCTTTCAGGCTACAGACAGGCCTGTTTGGTCATGGCTTTGACTGTGGAGACTGAGTCGCACATCTATCGAGTTTTGCGCACTGCCTCTGGTGCTGCTGCCCACCTTGTGGCCTTGGGCTTCACCATCTTTGTGACTGTGCTTGCCAGGCCTGGCACCAGTAAGTAGGATTCAGAGTTGACTTTTTGGAAGAAAAAGGCCATTCTTCCCGGGGAGCAGGGGCGGTAGGCAGCTGTAGCCCTAATTCCTGGGAATTAGGTCTGGCTCTTTGGCTGAGGGCACATTCTGTGCCAGAGAGATGATTGGGGTGGAGCTGATGCATGTGGGGGTCTCTCAGCTTGGTCAGGCCCCACAGGGTACTTGGTATTTTTTGGCTTGGTACGCCTCTTGACTACCTCCTGGGAGATACTGGGAGGACTGCCAGAGAAGTGGGATGGCAAAACCATGACCTCTGATCCAGGAAGAGATACTAGGTATGTCAGACAGCTCCCCTTGCAGTAAGGAGGGGCTCACATTTTGCCAGCATTTCCTTGGACAATGGGCTGCCCATATTTCTATAGGGATTGGCATGGCTGAGTTCTTCCCTTAGCCTCACGTGGCTTCCTCTTCTCATTCCAGGCCTGTTCTCCTGGCATCCTGTACTTATGTCTCTTGCTGTAAGTAGGGGACCTGGGAGAGAGCTTGGGCATGGGTGGTGGCCTTTGAAATCTTGTGAACATGTAATGTTGCTTTTGTCCTGCATGTTCCAATTCTTATCTGGTTCTCAAACTTGAACCAGGGTATAGAAGTGATTGTCTATGCACAAAATGAGGCTAAACCTACTTCTAGGAAAGAAGCTTAGAAAATGCACTTGATATACCTATGTCCCTTTTTACCTATTTGATTGTCCCTCTGTCCTTTCGAATATAATTTATGGTTATGCATCAAATTTTCCCTGAAACAGTACATCCATATGGCCAGCTCTTGCCAAGAAATTGTATCCAGCCTCATGTCAGGTAAACAGTGTGTGAATCATTTATAAGGGCCACATCTGAAACGTTGTATTTGCTGGGTAACATCGCAGAGGTGACCTTTCAGAACGGCACCTAGTGCGGAGAGGCACCTCTCACTGATTATTTAGGGTGGATGCTATCCTCTACCCCTGTCATTACCAAATGGAAACCAAATGGGTAGAAAGTGAAGAAGGGGCATCAGTCTAGGTTGGCTGGCAGCTTGAGTGTTATCTCAAATGCTCTTTCTGTTTGCTGAGGCAGCATCCTCACTTGAGTTTCCCATTCCTGTCTCCCCAGTTCTCCTTCCTGATGACCGAGGCACTGCTGGTGTTCTCACCTGAAAGCTCGCTGTTGCGCTCTCTCTCGAGGAAGGGTCGGGCACGTTGCCACTGGGTGCTGCAGTTGCTGGCCCTGCTGTGTGCTCTGCTGGGCCTGGGCCTGGTCATCCTCCACAAGGAGCAGCAGAGCAAAGCCCACTTGGCTACTTGGCACGGACGGGCAGGGCTGCTGGCTGTGCTGTGGGCAGGGCTGCAGTGTTCAGGTGGGCTGGGGCTGCTCTACCCCAAGTTGCTCCCCCGATGGCCTCTGGCCAAACTCAAGCTGTACCATGCCACTTCGGGGCTGGTGTGCTACCTTCTGGGTAGTGCTAGCCTCTTGCTGGGCATGTGTTCACTGTGGTTCACTGCCACAGTCACCGGTGGGGCCTGGTACCTGGCTGTGCTATGTCCAGTCCTCACCAGCCTTGTCATCATGAACCAGGTGAGCAATGCCTACCTATATCGCAAGAGGATCCAGCCATGAGCAGCTCCCTAGCTTAAGGGAAGCCTGGACGAGCTGGGGCTAGGACCTCCTGGACTCTCTCAGCTGATTGAGTCCAGGGGACACCTCAGGTACTGGGGCAATTGGGTGGGAGGAGACCTGTTTGACATCTTTGCTCTTCATGCTGGAGTGCCTTTTCTCTCCCCATTGTCCTGGAGGAGCATGTGGATCGTGTGTGGATGAAGTTGGGGTTGCAAATCTGCCTCCCCAGCAAATCAGTACTAGTATTTCCAGAAATTACAAGGGGAAAAAAAAAAAAAGTAAAATAAAAATGATTAAAAATATTGGCTGGGGGTAGCCCCCCAGGACACAAGAGGGCATGGGCTGTACTGTAATTGTGCGTCCTGTCAGTCTCTAGGCTGTAGGGGTTAGATATGGAAGATAGAAAGGATAGGGGCTGGTACCCGTCAACACTGGGCACTCTGTCATGGGGGGGAACCAGGGGTAGGAACAACTCCTTATCATCCAGGTCTTCAGTCCTCTCAAACACCCTGGGCAGGGACCTAGGGCTTCCCCTACTGGAAATCAGAAGTCGCTGAAAATAAAGGGGCTCAGGTCTGAGAATGCAGCTCTGGGAAGGTGGCTTGGCAGTGGGCATGTGGTTGAGGTGTGGTGCCCCTGATCCAGCTGGAGTTGCCACGGGAGCTGAGCCCTTGAACTCTGAGTAAAAGTCCCCATCTAACTTTGCAGTTGAATATAATGAGAGTGCTGCCCAAGGTGATCTGACAGAGCCCAGGAGCCATCTCTCCAAGAACTGCTTTATTGATACTGCAAGGCTGGGCTGGGCTGCCAGCTCAAGTGGTCCTGTAGAAAACACCTAGGAGCTGTGACTGTCCGGCACAGCAGCAGCCATGGCCACAGCAGAAGGAACAGAAATCCTGACGTGAATACAGTCTCTGTGGGTAGGCGGGGATGTGCAGCTCTGTGCTGGCTCCTGCACTCGCTGCAATATTTTTGGCAAATCCTTGCCTTGGCTCAGGGCTCTCAGCAACCAGGTTCAGGCATGAGGGCCAGCTCAGGAGCTATGGCACCAATGTCCTTGCAGCCATTTGCTTGGGACTGTCTGCTGAGATGCAGTCTTAACTTCAGATGGGGCCGGGGCTGCCTGATGCCTCATACGCCCCATGCCTGGCATATAGTGGTTGTCTGGAGTAGAAACCAGGTAGAAAGAGGCCTGGGTAGTGTTGGCGAAAAACAGCAGAAGGCTGTGGAAACCTCCAGAAGACCTTCTTTCTTCCTCTCAGAGCAGCTGGTGTCCTGGAGTAGCTGAGAGGGTAGTGAGGGGGCTTAGGAGAGGAGGTACTGCCCTCAGGATGGTTTGGAGTTACAGATTTGGGGTCACTGCCTCAAAGGTAATTAGGCTAGATTCTGGGACAGCCCCCTTCCCTGGAAGTATGGGGACCTTGTCTGATGACAGGGGGCTGTCCACCTTGGCTCTGGCCTCCTCTTCATCATCTTCCATACTGGGCCAGGCAGACTGGTCCTCCACTCTTTTCAGTCGCTCATTGAGGGCCTTCAGGGCCAGTTGCCTGGGGCCAGAAGAGAGAACACAGGCTACTTTTAGTTTGGGCTAGGCTCATATTCTGTATTCTTGCTTATGAGACCTACTCCTCCCCCTGCCTCCTCCAGAATCCCAAGTGTTACCCTTCCCCATGCAGATCCAGGGTTCCCTAGAGGTTAGATTGGGGTTCATTCTGTCACGAGAATTAGAATCCAAAGCCTTTCAAGCCTTCCCTCTATAGATGGGCACTCCACCTCTAGGCTGAGACCAGTGGACTGTCTGCCAGCAGGAGTGGTTCTGAATATAGTACCTAAGGGTGAGTGGAGCTGGTGCCTCAGGGCAGATGGGTGGAAGGGTCAGTCCCTGGAGATGTGAGCTTCTGTCTGGCCACTGTCATCACGTCCAAGGAGAGGGCTATCACTTCTCCCCTTTTCCAGGTCAGAGGTGTCCTGAGCCTCTTGGCAACCATCTGTGGGGAAGGCTTCTAATTGACTAGAATATCCTGCTTCCCAGAAGAATTCTCAAAGCACCAGGGCCTGTGTTAGAGCAGGGGCCTAGCTGAGTCCTTGTAGGAAGAGAGGAAGGAGAAACTGCCCAAATGGGTAGGGCAGAGCCTACTCGTGTCATAGGCAGACCTTTGCAGTCCCCACTTTGTAGGGAAGTGGGACAATTCTCTAGAAGAAAGTATATACTGGAGTTTGGGATCACCAGAAGGTGGAATGCCAACACTGCCAGGCAATACTTCCAACAGTGAGCACAAGCTCTATGTACCACTAGTGTGGGGGACAGCTTATATACCTTCCAGGCTTCAAAAGAAAACCAGATATTCACCATACCAGGGAACATGGCAGGAAAGGAAAAGGGCACGAGCACAGAAGGCCCCAGTATACTTCCATCCTGCCCTCTAACCTGGCACACAGCAAGTTGGCACAGACAGGATCATCCTTGCCTTCCCTGCTGTTACCCAGGCTTGCTTCCTCAAGAAGCTCTTGTTAGCTCTGGGTGCTCACTGAGACAGAGAGGTAGTGGCATGTCAGTCACTTCCTCCAGAGGGTCAAAGAGAGAGGTAGGAAACCTTGTCGCCCTCTGCTAGTAGCCCTTTGGATAAGGAGGTAGCATGCAGTCAGATGTCAAGCTGGTTAGAGGAACAGACCACTACCTCTATATAAGCCAACAACCACAAGGCTGTGCCAAGACATTGCTTCCTGTACCCTGCCCCCTGCCTATTTTCTTGGGCCTGGATAGAGGTTTTTGGAATATCTAGAGAGCTCTCTCACTGGAGGAGGGGCCCTGACTGCATACCTCAGAGGACAGCTTAGTTTACAGCAGCAGCCCTTGCAGTCCCAATTTCTCCCTGTGATGAGGTCAGAACAGTTTCTATCTTTAGGGACTCATCAGGTGTGAGACACAAGCTGTAGGGCTCAGAATGATGTCCTGCAGCTTGCTGTGTATTTTTTCTTTTTTGATACCCACTACCTTAGGAGTCCTGGTGTGGCATTGTAGGTTAAGCACCACAAGGTCAGCAGTTTAAACCTACCAGCCACTCCTCGGAAACCCTTTACAGTTTCTATGAGTCGGAACCAACTCAACGGCACTTAATAATAAAAACCTTGGTCCGCAGTCATCACCTGTGGCCTTAGGTCACTCCTTCACTGGCCTGAAAAATCCTTCAAGAAAGGGGTGTTTCCTATACTCAACTCCATAGCCCTAGTGGAGCATAAGTACAGACCTATCTGTTCAGCTGAATTCATGAAGCTTCCTGCCAAGAACCCTTTTTACAGGTGAGCGGGAGTCATGGGCAAATTCAAAAAGCAGAAACAGAAGCCACTTTAGTTTTTCCTACCTGAGTACAAAGCGCAAGACTGGTGTAAATACAGCTGCCAACTGGAAGGAGGCTGGGGCTGCTTTGGTGAATCCAGAGAGTTAGGTAGTCAGACGACTATTAACAAAGACCTGCCCTGCACTGGCCAAGGGGCAGCCGTGAATAATTTAACTAGGACTCCCAATGGTGCTTGGTTTACAGATAACGAAAGGGTCACCCTCCACTCCCTGATGGGTGAGGTGGCCCATCTCTTGGGTTTGGTGACACATGCTTGCCAAGAGAAGGAGGGGAATCTGGCAGTACTCCCAAGCTCCCCTCTAATAAGTAAGTGGCAGAGAAGCAGACTATGAGTTGAGGCCCAGCAATGGGATATATAGAAATTAGGATGGCTCAGACAGCCTCTTATGGACTCCCAAGATTCTTTCCCTGTCCCCGCTCTCACAGGGGGAAAGGGACCAACAGGATATTTCTGACTCCTGTAGAACCCATGTACAGGATTTCAAGACTTGGAACAAGGCTAGGGTTGTTTACCTGACTCTCCATCAGCCTTTCACACACCACCAAAGGCATTTCTGGAGGCTTTTTAAGTGACCTCAGTGGTGAGCAAAGCTTCTCTCACTCTCCAACATTGGAAAGCACTTTGCTGAATTCCTTAAGGTCAAAGACTGGATTTTATCCCTTTCTGAATCTGCTGCAGGACTGGCAGCCTATCCACAGCCATTACCTGTACTGACAAAACGACTCAACCAACAAATATTCTAGCTTGACAAAATTTCAGAAGATTCCACAGTACCTTCTTCGCTCTGCATCCTGAGGGTCTGTGCCTGGGAGACTGATGGTGATGGAGGACGGGGCACCCACATCATAGCGTTTCACTGTCTTCTGGCATATCTTTACCTTCACCAGGAGGCCGTGCACTAAATTTGCCAACAATCCCACCACAGGCTGCAGGATCTCTGGGAAGAAGGTGGCAAAAGCAAAGTGGTCGGCCATGTCCCCTCGGCCCCGGCTGTGGCGCTGGTAGAAGCGAAGATAGACCCAACTGGAGAGCAGCCCAAAACCATAGGAGGCCAGTGCTGGGCTGTGGAGCAGTGCGGCCAGCCTCAGGAGCAGCAGCAGGGCCAGCAGCAGCATGGGCACCACGCTGACGCGCACCTGGGGCACTCGTAGAACCACGCAGTCTCCCATGGTTTGCTTGAGCGCCACCAGAACACCACCTAGGAAACCTAGGGTGCCATGGATGCGAACAGTGAACAGATACACCAAGTTGAAGGACGCCATGTAGGTGAGGAGGTAGGCGAAGGCCCCCAGCAATCCTACAGACACGTTCACTACTGAGAAGAAAATGAGCAGCTCCAAGGCCCCCCAGAGGGGCTCTAGCAAACGCCCAGCCACCACCACTGTAGCCAGGCTGATGGCTACGTCCCACACGTGCTGCTCCATCAGCCCATGAGTGGCCAAGGTCCAGATCCAGAAGTTAGGAGGAAAGAGATAGCCTGGGGTGACCGCCAGGCAACCTGTGTCCACGGCGAAGGACAGCAGGTAGAAGAATAGCACCGCCGCACACAGGGCCTTCACCACTACGCTGGCACTGGCCAGGATGGCTCCTAAGTGTTGGCGGGCTCCTGGTAGGGCGCGCTGCATTTTTGCGGCAGGCGCCGGTCTTGGGTAAAGGTCTAGTGTGCTCGGGGCCTCCCCGGGGCCTTGTTCCAGTACGGCCCCGACGGGAGGCCCGGGCTCGGCCCAGATACTGGACTATGACCCTAGTGAAGGTTCCACTTCCGGTTGGGTCGGGCACCGATCCCGAGCAGCTGAATCTGATCTGGTTGAGGGGCCCGGACGTAGATCCGTGGCCCAGGACCTGAGGGAAGGCCCTGGGCGGCTTAGGCAGTCTTGCCTGACCCCACTGTGGGTCCCGCGCCAGGCCGACCGGACCGTCGTTAATCTCAGGGCTCGGTCTCCTCTATCCAGTTGGGTCCCATCGGTCAGGGCGCGGGAATGACTCCTTGTTCTGGGCTCCACTTAAGTCCGGTCAGCTCCAGATCCGCTTGGGTCTTGACTTCAGTACTGCCTCCTCCCTTTTCAGGGGCCGACAAACAGGGCTGATGCGCTTGCGCGCCCGAGAGAAGGCAGGGTGCCTTCTGAGCTATGGTTTTCCGGTTCCGCAGTATGCTGGGACATGGAGTCCCTCGGGTTTCGAAGTAGAACTACAAATTCCAGAAGATCGCGCGTGTGGACGTTCCTGTTAGTGGTCAGAGAATGGTGTGCTGGAAGTTGTAGTTCTCTTAGTGGTTTTCTGCGATTCTCCGGGGGTGGAGGAGAATGAATGAGCATTGCTGATCTCTGGAAAGCGGCGGTACACAACCCCATGCCGCACACTGGCCAGTTTCCGGGAAGAGTCACAACGGCACTATTTACGTATAAACAACTGAATAGGTTGGTATGTGGGGAAGATTTTCGTATGGTCGTAATATGTGTGCAGTTGTGCGTGAATTCCCAGCACTTTAAATGTCTGGTGTATGGTGCCTAATCTAGATGGGAAATTTTCGTATGCCACTTGGTAGCTCTGTGACCTTGGCTAAGTTCCTAAAGCGTTTTGAAACTCGACTTCATGGTCTATCAAATGGAGATAATGACAGGACCTCTCTATCTTGAGGGGTAGGTTTATAACATGCCAGTTGTTGTTGTTGTTGTTAGGTGCCATCGAGTCAGAACCGACTCATAGCGACCCCACGCACAGCAGAAGGAAACAATGTCCGATCCTGGGCCAACCTCACTACCGAGGCCACACTTGAGTCCATCAATGCTGCCACCTGGCCAATCCATCTCGTTGGGGATCTTCCTCTTTTTCTCTGACCCTCCATCTTACCAAGCTTGATATCCTTTTCCAGCGACTGTTCCCTCCTGACAATATGTCCAAAGTATGAGAGACGAAGTTTGGCCATCTTGGCCTCTAAGGAGCACTCTGGCTGCACTTTTTCCAAAACAGATCTATTGGTTCTTTTGGCAGCGCACGGCACTTTTAGTATTCTCCTCCAACACCGTAATTCAAAGGCACTAATTCTTCTACGATCTTTCTTATTCACTGTCCAGCTTTCGCATCCATATGAGATTATTGAAAATACAATTTATTCTCAGGCTCTGTTTGAGTTGAGCTGGAACAGAACTCAGGTTTCCTGTCTCTGTCTCCGAAAAACTGAGAATGCCCTTAGTGCCTCCCCACCAGAAACTTCTGATCGTTGGTGACAGGAAGAAAGCAATCTCCCCACAAAACCTGAGCCAAACACTCCCAGTGGTTATCTGTAAGGTTATGGTCTGTGCAAACTTTTTTTTTTTGTATACTGAGTTGCTTTAAAAATATGCATATAATAACATGACAAAATGTTTATATAAAGCTCAGAACCTCCTCTTTTCAGCCACTGTTTCCAGTACAATTGATGAAGTGTGCAGTCTTCCAGATATAAAGGGTGTTGACACCTTTTATCTTTGTTTGAAATCTGGCTTCCCACTGGAGGCCACCTTAGGGTAGAGTTGCTAGATTTAGTAAATCAAATATAGGGCACCAAGTTAAATCTGAGTTTTAAATGAACAGTAATTTTTTAGCATCCCCAAATTTCTAGGATAAGAATACCCAAACCCACTGCCATCAAGTCAGTTACAACTCATAGTGACCCTATAGACAGAGTAGAACTACTACATAGATTTCCAAGACTGTAAATCTTTATGGGATCAGACAGGCTTATCTTTCACCCATTTGGAACCTGTGGTTATTGGCAAGCCATGTGACAGAATAGAACCGACCCTTATCATTGTCCAATTGTCATATGAATATAAGGTGATTGAAAATACCATTACTTGGGTCAGGTGCACATTAGTCCTCCAATTGACATCTTTGCTCTTGAAAACTTTAGAGAGGCTTTTTGCAGCATATTTGTTTAATGCCATACGTTGTTTGATTTCTGACTGCTGCTTCCCTGAGTCTTGATTGTGGATCTAAGCAATTTGAAGTCTTCAATCTTTTGTTCATTAATCATATTATTTATTGGCCTAGTTGTGAAAATTTTTTATTTCTTTACATTGAAGTGCAATACACACTGAAGGCTACAGTTGTAGATCTTCATCAGTATTTCAAGTCCTCTTTGCTTTCAGAAAGCAAGTTTGTGTCATCTGCATATCTAAGGTTGTTAATGAGTCTTCCTCCAATCCTGATGCCATGTTCTTCTTCCTATAACCCAGCTTCTTGGATTGTGTGCTCAGCATACAGGTTGAATAAGTATGGTGAAAGAATACAACCCTGGCTCACACCTTTTCTAATTTAAGACCATTCAGTATTCCTTTGTTATGTTAGAACAACTGCTCTTGGTCTGTGTACAGGCTTCTCATGAGTGCAATTAAGTGTTCTGAATACCTATTCTTCGCAATGTTATCTATAGTTTGTTATGGTCTACTCAGCCCAATATCTTTGCTTAGTCAATACAGCACAAGTAAATATCCTTCTGGTATTCTTTGCTTTCAGCCAAGACTTTGTTCTGTTAGAACAACTGCTCTTGGTCTGTGTACAGGCTTTTCATGAGCACAATTAAGTGTTCTGAATACCTATTCAGAACACTTAATTGACCTAACAGTCAGTCCTGATAGCAATTATTCACTATTGTACCACAAGAGACCTATCTGCATCTCCTTTGATCAGCTCCGCCCAGACAAATTGGATACTACTCAGTGGAGATTCTACCTTCTTCTGCGCCCTCTGGATCTAGATCTAGGCTCCCTCTTGAAAGCCTGTAAGCCAGTCACTTCTTACCTTTGTAGCACTCCCATTTTGGGTAGCCAATGTCCAAGTTGCTCATCCCTGTCTACCTTGTGTATCGAGGGGGTGGGAATGATCCTCGCTGTAAAGATTTGTTCCCTCTTTTGACTGCATCCATAGGTGTAGGTCAAGTTCATCAAATTGTATCAGATTACTCTTTTTTTCCTCTTCTTTCTTCTTCAAGTTGAGTTCTGATCATCCAGCCATGAAGCCAGGTCAAGTGGGTATTATCTGCAAGTGTGGGTGTTCTTATGCATATGCCCTCTCTTCTTATCAGCTGGACGCTTCACTCTCCACTCTAGTCCTCTGTGGTCTTGCCACACTGCTGGCCAACCAGGTCTCCACCTGGGTTCACAAGAGTATATTGAACGTGGTTGGGCTTTGTTTGCTGCTTCATTGCTGTTTTTCCCTCACTTCCCCTTATCGGTGACCAACGTGGTCACCAGTCAGATCGCATGTCTGCTTGTGTATTCTCATTGAGTCTTAGTCTTGGAAGGGGGTTTTCCATCTTCTTTTCGTGTTTCCAGTGTTATTCAACATTTTGCCCATAGAATCCTTCAGTATGGCAATGGAGACATGATTTCTTCTTCAGTTCTTTCAGCTTTAGAAATGCTGAGTGTTCTTTTTGTTTTCTAACTCCAAGTCTTTGCACGTTTCATTATATCTGACTTTGTCTTCTCGAGCTGCCCTTTGAAATTTTCTGTTAACTTTTTACATCATCATTTCTTCCAGTAGCTTTTGCTTCTGTACACTCAAAAGCAAGTTTCAGAGTTTTGTCTGTCATCCACTTTGGTCTTTTCTTTTCTTCCTGACTTTTTAATGACCTTTAGCTTTCTTCATATATGATGTTCCTAACGTCATCCCACAACTCTTCTGGCCTTTGGTATTTAGTGTCTACTGCATCAAATCTGTTCTTGAGATGATCTCTAAATTCAGGTGGGATATAATCCAGTAACAGCATACATATATATATTCTCTAGCCAGCAGATTAACTCTACCTTCTCTCCCACCCCTGGTAACCGTCCTAGAACATTTCTTTTAGCATGAAAACCTTTTCTTGTCTTTTTACAGTAGTGATCTCATATGATATCTGTGCCTTTGCAACTGACTAATTTCACTCAGCATGATGTCCTCTACATTATGTGGTATTTTTCAGATTCATCATTATTCTTCAGTGTTGTGTAATATTCCATCATGTGCATGTACCATCCCTCTGCTAATGAGCATCTAGACTGTGTCCATCTTTTATTGTGAATAATGTTGCAATGAAAGAAGCTCGGGTAGCGTAGTAGTTACGAATCGGCTCCTAATCTCACGGTCAGCAGTTCAAAACTACCAGCTGTTCCACAGGAGAAAGATGAGGCTTTCTGCTCCCATAAAGATTTACAGCCTCAGAAAGCCTGTACAGGGTTGCTATGAGTCGGAACTGACTCCACAGCACATAACAACAACAATGCTGCAGTGAACATGGGTGTACATATATCTATTTGGTCACAGCTCTTATTTCTTGAGGATATATACAAGTAGAGATTGCTGGGTCATCTGGTATTTCTATTTCCAACCTTCTGAGAAAGTGCCATATTGTTTTCCATAGTGGTTGCACCATTTTACAATCCCACCAACAGTGTAGGAGAGTCCCAGACTTTTCAAACTCTTGCCAGCATTTGTTGTTATGCTGTTGTCTTTTTAAACTATTTTTTAAAAGCTATTAAGTGGTATTTCATTGTTCTTTTGATTTGCTTCAGAGTCCTGGTGTGGCACTGTGGGCTAATGTGTCAGACTTCAGTCGTTTGAACTGGAAGGTCAGTGGTTCAAGCTCACCAGCTGCTCCATGGAA